AGCTATGTACTGGAACACAAACATAAAGGCACATATATAAAGCTACTATACACAAGATACTAGACACCATAGTCTGTAGAAAAAGTCATGTTAATACATAAGCTTTCACTTTACTTTGTTTCATATGTCTTTTGAGCATGCTGTTAATTTATATCTTCTGTTACCAGTTAAACTTAAAGGATATTTTTGTTAGTGTCAAGCAATACTTTTCACATTCAAGGTAAATTCACAGACAAGCGAGCTGCACTACACTGGATTTATATTGACAGCAGGTCAGGTCCGGTATGTACATTGAGTGGGTTACTGGCAGATTGTTTGGCGTACCATGTTATACGTCGTTATCATTCACATTTCCAGGCGAAAGGTTTTTGTTTTGTTTTTTCTTAGTACAATATTCTAGTTCTTATTTTAAACGAATTCAAAATCAATTTAAGCTTCTGCATACAAGTAGTATTAGTAGAAGTACTGAAACATAACCACTGCAGTTTTATTTTATCCTTTGGAGAGTATTTATAGACTATTTAAATTTTTCGTAAGATACATTTGATACATGATTTTAAAACCTTGTAAAAATCCTCAAGTGCTATTATGATAAAAATTAACAGAAAATGCATTGTTTGTTACATCCAATAAATCCACCTTAAGCAGAGGTTGATTTCCAATTACATGTCTCTGAAAGTCAATATTAATATAGATTTGACCTCTAACATGCCAATACCTTTGACATAAAACCCAATAATGCTTCTGTTTTTAAACAGAAGGATTATAGATATTTAAATACCTCACAGGAGTAAAACTTTTGACTGACATTTTTCATTGTGTCATAAATTGGTGCTAATCCCCATGTTGCTGGAAAATTACTATTAATTTGTTTTGGGGATGAGGGAGTGGTGTGTAGAAAATTGCCTGGACACCTGACACTAGTGAGTAAATGCATAAAACTATGACCATCATCCCTGCGAGCTCTTTAAAACAACAGTGTGGAGACGGCCAAGTTGCTAGGAAACTGACAGCACTTCACATTACCATCAGGAAATTGAAAATATACCATACCACATATACCATACTGAGACTGATCTTATTCAAAAATATCCAATTGTGATTTTTATGACATGATCTTTTTTGTTTGTTTGTTTATTTGATTGATTTCTTTAACATCAAATCTCAGTGCACATTTCAAACATGTCCAGGACTAATAGCATTTGAAAAAGGACTGAAATATACACTGCTAAACTAATGCAAGAATAACATGCTCGTCCAAGTATGTTAAAGGTGCTCTATGCAATTTTTCTGGTGGAGGGTATGGGACCAAATTGTCTATGAAGACGTTAAAGTATATTCCGGAGTCTGGCATTAAATCTCGGCATCACCAGTGCTGGGTATCATTAAGAAGTTGCTCATATGATACATACCTTGATACATAGGCAATGATACAACGCATATTTTGATACAGTGCACTTTCAATTCAATACGATATATTTCAAATCGATTCAATATGGTTCAAAAATAAAGGTTACATCATGGCTGTGATAGAAAAAAGTCTTTGTTAAATCACTTCTTGTGCATGAAACACACACATTTTAATCATCAAAACAAGCAACAAAACTGTAGCACTACATACCAAAAAATACTCTTGGTGATATATCGATACAGCAGCCCACGGCATCGATACTGTATCATCACATTAAACGATACGATATATCGATATTTCGATATTTCTGCACACCACTATGCATCACGGAGTCATAAATATGAAGTTACCAGGCCATGTTACTTGTCAGCTCTGTGAAGATGCAAGCAAACCAGCCAGAGTAAAATATTTTAGCAACAAAAACATCTGCAATTTAAAATATGCCAGACAGATGTTTTTAATGTCGTACTGTGGAACATTCCAAAATATTCATCTCTCCATAGAGACAAGCAGACGGCAGAACCCACACCACAACAGTTACATAGTGCAGCTTTAAAACATGTCAAGGTCATGATTTTAGCCTCAGCGTTTTATGGACCAATAAAACAAACAAAGCAAAACTGACAATGGGATTGTTTGATAAAGGCTGAAAAGATATTTGTTGATAATTCATGAAATAAACACTATCTAGCATTTTAAGTAACCCTACAGCTTTTTAATCATATTGTGTGTTTTTTTTTTAGTTTTGGCGATAGAAATTAAGCCATGGAAACTGGACAGATGTCATTTTCACTGTTGGCGAAGCTGCCAAGGGACCTGGTGCAGCCAATAACGTGCAACGCTTATGTGATGATGGTGCTAACACGGCAGCCATAAACAACTGCAGAGACAGTTCATTTCTGTGATGTGCTGACAATCATTAGAAAATGGACACAAATACTGATAAATCTTTGATGGGAGATACAGGGCTTGAAATAAAATCAAACATGTCAATATGTCAGAGAAATTCGTATTTAGAGCTGCTAGACTGATAGGTAAAGGATCCTTAATGATTAGAAAATTGTCAGTCAAAGAAGAAATTGTGAACTGAAAAACGATTTGCTTTGCCTGAACATGGAGGAGTAGCAGTATAATAATTCCATAGACAAGACCAGATGGTAGAAGGTAATGTTAATGTACCAGCTTTTAAATTAGGCCCTACAACATGATCAAAGCCCAAACCAGAATATATACTGAGTGCAATGGTTAGTGAGAATCTGACAGCGACTGCTTGTGCAACCCCAAGAATTTTGCAGGTTGAAACTGGGCTCCATGGATCTATAAATTATTTAAACTTGGCTCATTAATAAGATTATCTATTTAAGGAACTTTCAAGTCAACTGATGGAATATGCTTTAAAACCGAAGTCTGAGAGATATTGGAGCGGCGAGAGTTCAAGTCGGCATAAATGGGGTGAGTAGGCTGAACAGAAATACATATGTGAACACAGAAGAATGAACAAGCTGCATTTAAAGAGCACTCCGGGGTCTGCCACCAGATACTTTGTGAAGTCTATTTGTAACTTCGAAGGCCATAAGATCATACTTTTTCCTGCTAGCTGGAAAGTTCTAGAAAATGGCACAGCAGCATAACCTCAGCAGCCGACAGAATGGAGGCCTTTTAGCGAACTGCATCATATGATTGTGCTTCAGAAGAATGCGGCTTGTGATTACCTTGTCAATGGAAACTTATTACAGAAGACTGATTTACATTATGTTCTGAATGATGGGTAACAAATGAAGTTAAGTAGTAGTTGTAAGTGCTGCATTCAGGCCAGGTATAGCCTCACCTCTACATGTTGTTGCTTCAGTTAGGACTAAAACTATAGGAGCTGTATGTTACACTGTTTTAATGCACTGGTGCAGAGCCTAGATTACTCTGTGGCATGTATTAAAACTGTGTAACGCACTGCTCCAAGTGAAAATAGTTCACTTTTAAATCTGACAACCTTTTGGCTGTCGATGGATGTTTAGGGCATTGTTTTTGTTGAAGCAGTAAACCCCTGAATGTAATAACTTCTAGTCAAAGAGCTCAAAGGTGTTAGATAAATAGATCAATCAGTTGATTTTCCTTCATCTCCACAGAGCAAGTAATATCCAGTACAGAACTCGGGCAGATGGTTTTGGCTTGAGTTGTTTTTCCAATCGTGCCAGCGCTCATGTGCATTTATCAACTTGGAAAAACATTTTCCAGAGTTCCCAAGGACCACATGAACACAGCAGTAGAACAGTGATTATTAACTGTTGCCAGATTACGTGTGCGGTTATTCACAAATAATGCACGGCATCTCACTGACCATGGTATAATCCCATTTGTATGTATTTCACGGCACAGTACTGATCAGACTTATCTTACTCAGATCCCTATGTTACTGATTTCCAGTTTGAAGCCAATCAAAGACAATAGGTGTCCATTAATGATGAAGAAACAATCAGTTATTTAACATTTGCCAATTGTTGCACATTTTAACTACATCATTTTATTTTATTTTGTAATACGAGCTATTAATTATGCATAGATTGAGGGAGAAAATTGAGAGAAGAATGTTTAAATAATTCAAATTCTATCAGTGAAAGTTAAAACCCTGCACTATTTATTCCATTGTGCATTATTTGCTGGTTTAGAAAGCTGCTGATTATATTACGTTTTCATTAGCATGTTTGAAAAATGATGAAAAATGTTTGTGTTCAAGAAAATAAACCTATAAAATCTCAAATTATATGCATGGTTATTATCTCATAGCTACACCATCTTCAGTTCAGAACAAGTAGATCTTTCTGCATGTCTTAAAATATATTTTCAGACAAATTAATAAATTATCAAGACAAAGCTAGAAAGGCAATGTTCTGCACATTCGCACTTCATAGCTGATTTAGTGTAATAAAGGTTGGCATGGAAACAGCAAGTGGTCACGTAATTGCACCAGTAAATGTTTGTCCTTGATAATTTATCCTCCATTGAATAATAAAGTACGATTATATTGTTATGTGAAAAAGTTGGGAGCACACTTGACTTCTTAAGATTTCTGTACACTGGTATCAACTGTTTTTTTTTGTTTGTTAAGTGCACAATTAATCCAACCCAGATCACCACCACTATATTTGTTTCTGATGGCAACTTGTTTAGATAAAATGTAGTTCTCAGAGGATTGATAAAGAGGAAGGTGTTTTAAAAAATGCTATGGAACTGCAGTAAACCATGGTAAGATGAATGTTCTAGGTCCTGAGAGCGTCAACCACCATATTGTATAAGTCTCTGTAGCTTTAGACAGATTTTCACAAAAGAGAAAACACTCAAAGCTGATCTTTACCATTTACTTGAACTTATATTGACTATCTTATATGAAAGGGGGTTTAATTATCTTGATATTGGGGTGCACAATCATTCCACATGACTGCACAGCTCAATTGCACAGCATACAATGTATCATGATTCTCCTAGTATAAGCTGAACCAGAGAGGGATAAATCTTTAATGGCGTGTGTGGTAAGTTCTTTCAACATCTCACCATTGGACCAGTGCTACCTCTGCGTGCTTTGTGACAGACTTACCCTCAGGCGCATCTGCATCACAGCTCCTCGTGGTGCTGAAGGTACCATTATCCACAGAGGGCATCTGAGGAAAAACACACAAGAGATCATATCACAGAATATAGCAGTAGAGGAGATGCTACTCAAATACAGTGCATTGTGTGTAATCTAAATCATTTTATATAGAGTAATATTCTGTGTGTTTTAAAATAGAGTTGAAAATTTAACAGTATTTTTTATTAAGACAGATAACATTGCATCTAAACCACATGCATACTGTACTGTACACCCACACAGACAGAGAAAGTGGCTGCTGCAGCACTGTATTTCTCAAACTATTTCACTTCTCAACAAGAACTTCAGCACATGGTTGAAACAGTTTGAAATGGAACTACAGCAATATGCCAGCAATGATACATACTATATCGACTGTGTAGTATATGATAGTTGGAACAATACTTTTTTGGGGGTCATTACTTATCTTGGGAACTTTTTCTTTGTATGAGTTTGCTTATTTTTATTTACTACGATGAGATCAGAGCTGTAGAAGGTGAAATTATAACTAATTATAGATACAAACTTACGATTTGAGCATTGAATTCTGTCATCTATTTATTGCAGTTTGTATATTTTAAACAATATCATAATTAGAATTGACTCTGGGGGATAATGCTGCTTTATGGTTTGGTTTCAATATTATTATTTATTGTCTGTATTTACTTACTTATTTATGTACTTACTACAATATATTGTAATATATCAATATATCGTATTTCAAAATTTGCTAATGTGACAGGCCTATATAGCACTAAAAGCCCCACAATTTTCTATAAGTCATCTGAACCCCCTTTCTAGGGCTGCATGACATGGGGTTAAAAACTGAACATGATCTGATGCTTGTGACAATCTGCTATTTTGTTTAACGTGATTCACAATTTCTTCATTTTAAGCAGATATCTTTTTTATTATTAACACACTTCTCCTTTTGGTTCACATCTATAAGGCTTTCAGTGAGTGACAGTGGGATATAAAGGTCCTATATTACGCAAAACTGACTCTTGTGAGCTCAATCCTTAATATGGGCCCTTTAACCAATCACAGTGAAGTGTGAACTTTCAGAAGATGATGACTTTACCTCTTAAAGAAATAGAAAAATAAACATCTATATGATTAAATATATAAATAAATGATAAACATTTAATCTTATCTGGCTCTAAGAAAATCATGATAATAATTTGTTGCCATATTGCCCACTCCTACCTTCAACTGACCACTCTTGCTGTTGTCTCTCACACAGAATGTGTGGATGAATAAATATTTCATATGTATTACTTACCTCTACAAGATACTTCTGGCTGCCATACATGACGTACTGAGGTGCTAAGCTGTAGATCATGTAGCTGGTGTGCAGAACGATCAATAGGAGAATCATACAAAGGAAGAGCAGAGCTTGGGGTCGAGTGCGCTTTGGTCTGATTTTGTAAAGCTACAGAAAGAGAAAATAAAAAGGACAATTAATGCTTGAACTATTAAGTTGATTTAAGTGTGCACGCTGCTTACCCTTATCCAAAAGAACCAAATGCCCATGTTGCGAATACCAGCCATGGATGTGAACACGAAATACATGGTGATAACAGTGATCAGAATGTAATCTAATGGGAAAACCTGAAATTTAAGAGACAACGGTCAGTTTGATGTTTATATCCAAATGAATTAGTTGGCTACCTCTTTGGGATGCTCAAAATGGCAGGTCTATTATAAATAATACTCAATGTGGGCCAACTAATTTTATAAATAGTGTTCCGCATGTGTTTACAGTGTCAAATGAAGTGGAACTGCTTTCTGGCTGCTAACTCTACAGTAATGCTTTTTAGGCAGAATTACAATGGCGCAACAGAAATACTGATCTATTCATTGCATGGTGCACTTAATGTCTGACTGAAACATCAAGGTCAATGCTTTGAATGCTTTGTGTAGACATTTAATCAATGCCACAGTGTATGAAGCAATTCTTAAATACTGTGAGCTGTCAATCAAGTTTTTTTCCCTTCAAATTCTCTAATAGAATACAAAGCACGGAATGATAAATTTAGCTTGCCAATGATAAAAGTTTGCTAATGTCAATTTCTTTCAGTCAACTATCAAAGCCGCTCAACACATGCTACAGAATTAGCAAGTACTGAAATTGCCCCTCATATTTTTGAAATATTTCTTGTGCTCATATCTGATATAGGATCTCAATGGGTTGGACAGCCTTTGTACTTAATGTATTAAGCAGCATACCTGCTTACAAACAGGAGTGCGCATATTTCCAGAGAGGAGATGAAAGAGTACTCACAGGTTGCAGTACCAACAGAAGTTCGTTCAGGGGATTGGTGAGATTTGTGCCAAAGACTACAAACCCAGAGCTGATGCCTGCAGAGTGGAGAGCTTTATCCAAACTACCACACAGAGATACAAGTATTAACACATACATGTAAATACTACTCTTAAATGAGATGATAAGAGTATTTACTTTGAAATGAATAAGGCAACAATAAACAGCAATGCCACCAGGATGAAGAAAATGCCAAGCACAATCTGTAGGGACAAACACAAAAAGTTTAATTTACAAATCGCCTTGATATAAATCGTTAAGTGCGCACTTACACAGTAGTAGTGTGGATCTAAAAACTGGCACAATCAATGTACAGCAAGACACAAATGAATATCAATAGCATGTACTTTGAAGAGACAAAACCCTCGCCATCATGTCTTTCATCAAGGAGGGACCATATGGCACAGCCCACAAACCTGGCAGCAGGGCCTAAGGTGACAAAAGGAGGCAGAGGCACAGCCCAGACGGCAGGGAGGCTGCACCACGGAGGCAGAGGCGTGTGGCAGCCAAAATGGCAAAGCACATCACAACAAAATAACTAAGCCACAACTCCACAGATCATTTTGTATGGCTTTTATAGGAGAAGCTTTGCATCTTTTCATCAGCAGAAAATGTCCAAGTGTAAAAAATCATAACCATCAAATGTCAGACTGTCAAGTGTAAAAAAGCAGTGGTGGCTCTGTACTAGACAAACAACAATCATTTGGCTTATCACTCTAGGCCAGTGCCCGAATACACAGTAAATAAATCTCCCAAATCATTACTGTTCATATTTGAGTCTGGGGACTGTCATTAGCAGCAACCCCCTTGGATAAAGTCAAACTATTACAGACAGCGGTTTATAATGTTTGGGCATTCCTGCAGTGCAGTAAAAGACTGGAAATTGAATAGCTGTGGCAGCAGAAAAGTGAATTAGGAGAATGATGTGGGACTCACGCTGTCCTTTTCAGAGATGGGTTCTGAACAGAGCAGCCTGATTTATAACTTTTGTTCATAGCAGAAGATACAAAAATACCTGATGAAATAAATGAGGCTTAACAATGATTTAAAGCATTTTTGGGGTTTAAGATGAAGAAAGACGAGAATGTGAGTCACAATGTTTTAAAGACAGACTGCTGTGCATTTTCATACCTGATTAACCAAAAAAAATAAAAAATAAAGCAGGAAATGTGTAATTAACTCAAGCACTCACACAATCATAAAATGATGATTAAGCATGCAGGGGCTGCTCCGACACCCTTGGGGTGACATACCATTATTTATCATTAAGCCCAATTCTACCAATGGAATTTTAGGGGCATTAAATTATGTAAAATATACTTAATAATAAAATGTAAAATGTACAATTCTAGTAACTGCCTCGTTGAGTGTTTAAAAGGGTGATTTTGAAAGTAATAGGTCTTCTTATAGACTTGAGGAAATAGCTCAGTTCAGGACAGATTAGTCTCCTTCTGACAAATGGTAGACTTGAGATAATGCGACACAGTATACTGTTAGTGTGATACGTGTAATAGTATTTTAATGACAGCTTTAATAGTGAAGACAAATGCATTTATGCTGGGGAATTATTTGATCATTCTGATCTGGAAAAAAATGAAAGACCAGTTTGAGGTCGGGTTGTTCCATCTCTGGGGACAGAGATCCTACCTGAGATATGCAGAATGCCCTGGGACAAATTAGGTGTAGACTACCCATGGGAATTATGTAAATACGCAGATGACTATAGAAGAACTAAAAGTGAATCTGGAGCGGAGTTAAAATTCAGTACAAAGGACGAGTTTGGAAACAGTTGTGGAGATTAAAATGCATCAAATGTTACATAGCTTGTTGTAAGTATAAACAAAAAATAATATAGTTGAAGCACACATACATTTTATACACATTTATAAAATTCACATATGACAAAGACACAAGCCATCAGTTAATGGACAGTCACCTTGAAAGGTCTGAGAGCACTGCCCACTTTAGTGCAGCAGTTCCTCTCTGCAATTTCCAGGTGTCTGCTCCTGCGTCGAAGCACCTGCAGTTTCCCCTCCAAATCGTGAAGGCTCCGTCTGTCTCGGGAGGACAAGGGACGACCATCTTTACACTGTCAAAGAGAGACAAACAAACTGAATAATACACATTAAAATGTAAATAGGTCTCATATAGAAGTCCCCCAACAGTATAGCTATAGAAAGAATGACTAATGTCCTACTCATTAAGTTGAATTGAAGGTTACCACTAGCAACTACAGCCTAATAACCACAATTATATGATTTTTCTTCCAGCAGTTTTCTCCACTGTGCCAGTCAATATAGGAAGCTGCTATCCCCATCTATAATTGCATGCAAACTGCACAGTGAGGCCAGGTAGAAAGATAAGGAGAGGGGGATGAGCTGGAGGTTATGCACAAGTACAGTAAAACGCATGACTAGACTTGCGAATGATTACATTAAAACGTAGAAAAAGTGTGTTTGAGTTGCACACACCTTGGATTTGAGGTTTTCTATCTGCTGCTCCACATCATCCATGTCCTCGGTGTTCTCCAGGCGCTCGTATGCTACACTGCGCGTGCCCTTTATCAGATTCAAAGGCAGAATCGACATGCCATATGCCTGCAACAGCACAATTGCAATCATATGTTATTGTCATATGGCATCAGAATTCACCCACTCATTCCTCCTCAGTGGCTATAAACAAACAATGACAATGTTGAAAAAGACACAATTTCTGTAATGAAAATACACATTAAAATATAGCCTCTGCTTGTGTAAACTATGTGCTTGAAAATATAAAATGTGATCTACAATTTTGCACAGCAGAATTTTAAGTTTGCTGCAACCATTTTGTGAGGATATTTCAGCCTTATATCAGCCTGATGCAATTTACAGCTTAACAGTGCCCCCATGTGACAGCACTATCCGCTATCCAGGATTTGATGCTTTTTATAAGAAGATTTTTTTTTTTTGGAGGGAAAGGAATATCTGAGTAAGATGAGAGCATTCATCAAAAAGAGCCATCAATGTAGTCAGGATTGAATCAGTAAAGGACAATGTTCTTTCTGCTCTATTTCCTGTAAGATTTCTGTTCAATGCTAAAATATAAACATGCACAGTGGAGTACACAGCAGCATTCAAACTTTAATGAAAATAGATTTTTTTTTAAATCTAGAATAAAATATATTCCCAAAATGATCGACAAAACTTGAACAGATAGTCAGCCATCTTGCTTTCATAAACTCAGATATGCACTTAAAGGTTCAAAATATTACAGAGAAGACCTGTGTAAAAAGATACTTTCAGCAGTGTCAAAAGATAGTGCCCTTTCTTCAATTTCCAAGCACAAAAATATCAAACCCTATATTTTATATTTTTCTGAGACAACTTTTACTAGTTTCTGAGTGTTAGATAGCATTAGGCAAGTCACTGGGGATACCAAGTCAGGCTCGACTATTATTAGTTTCTGCTGTGGATCTTTGCTACAGGCGAATGTCGCCTTCTGCAATGAATCATGGAGCTCTTAAGGCCGGAGCATGTCCCGAATATCAAACACACTCATAAAAGGAAAACCTGTCCCAGATCCCCAGAGAAACATTTCCCTCCCCCACCAACGTGCAAGAGCATGGGAGAAATACAGGAACACAGGTGTCCCCTTGTAAAAAAGCTACTATCACTTCCTATTACCATATATGCTCAATAATTCCATTAAAAAGCCCATGGTGGTCAATAATAGTAGCTACAAATAGATTGGATAGGGGTGATGGTCCTGCCTGATAAACAGGGAAGCCATGTGACCACAAAGTGGGCACCAGTACAAGCGTGTGGACACAGGGCAGACAGGGCCCTCTGTGTTATTCAGGCGGCTGGTGATAGTGGAGCAAAGGGGAGGAGGAAGGACTGTGCAACCATGTCTTTAACACCTCCACATAAAAGCTATTTTAATTACTCGCTACAACCAACAATAAAGATTAGGTGGTTTACAATTCAGCAGTACATTCAACAGTGTGTGTAAGATATAGCATAATTAATATGTCGTAATTGAAAAGGTGCCTTTAATTAATACAAGTTAATTAAAAAAAATATTGTGAATAAGGGGAGGCATCAATCAAAAACCCACATAAGCCTTATGCATTTTTATTATGAAGTGTATAAGTAAATAAAGTAATTTTAATAATGTTATTTGACAGCCATTTAAAAAGCTTTGTTCTGGATGGATATTATGATCAATCAATATAAAAAAAAAAAAAATGGAATCCTAGAATAAAATGTGAAAAACAAGTTTAAGATCCAAAACCAGACGTCTACAGAGGTTGTCTGAGAGACCCCATTTCCCAGGTCAATCTGAAGGCTGTGATAGCATCAACAGGCATTCATCTTGTGCACTCAGCATCAACATCTTATGGAGGAAATTTAAGAGTAGAAGGAAAAAAGGGGATGCATGCGGGACACAGCCATGAGCCAGTGCACATGCTGGGTTTTGAAATGAAGCTAATGCCCGGGCCTCAGTGGACCTCATATGGTTCCTGCTGCAAACAAGGCACCATAGAATAATAACATTAAAAGGGCTTTAAAGTTCAGTCTTACATTTCCAGGGAAGGACAGGATTTTCTGTAAGATCTTCTCTGAGAGTTGAATCCTATTATGTTTAAGTGCACAGTGTTATATAGCATGTACATTACGGGCAGTGGAAGTGGGCCGAGGGCTGGTTGCACACACAAACAGTGCTAATAAATTTACAGCAGTCACAGAAATCCCTGTTACTTATGGAGGCTTTTACTTACACTCCATTAAGTTAATCAGCCGAAATAGTAACACATAGAAACAAGGATAAATCACACACTCATTTTGTGAGTACATGTACACTGAACTGCAACACTAAAAACTTCCCTAAGCGTCTCTAGTGTGTAATTTTCTTTACATGCAGGACTAACACTGTAAGACAATACAATGACACTACCACTCCATCACTCACCGTGGATGGTAGAAACAATCTTTAAAAACTCAACTTTGATTAATACAGTTTACAGTAATTGGTTCTCATTTAGAGAGAAATGAAAGCTTTCTCTGTATATTATTAAGTGTGGATTTCATTGTTAATCCTTATGTGCGGTCAGCAATGGCGAGTGGATAAATTGGGTTGGCTGGCTATATTTTTTCCCTTGTTTATTTGATATTTTTAAAACAGCAGTGGCACAAGCTTCAGGGAAAATTTACAGTCTAGTTACCAAGATAACAGGAGTGAAAAATGGACAGCAGTAACAGACACAGTCGATTCTACCGATTGAAGAAAAAAATGACAAACTACCCAATGAAGAGAGAATCAAAATATAGGCATATATTAATGGACAGAGGGTAGATCCATATATATGCAGGAATATCAGGTCAGAACAGTTAAGAATAAGAAAACTGTAACAAACCTACCATAAATAATAAAAGTAAAGTTATACCAATAACTCAACTTAGAAACTGCATCTTTAACTGAAATTTGATATTTAACTTACCTAAACTAAGCATTATGATCCATCAGTGTTTCCCACAGGTTTATGGTGGCAGAAGTGAGCCATATTTAAATAATTGTATTCAATATAATATTTTGGTATATAAATGTCACCTATTCCTCCCACTGATTTAAAATGCACTGATTATAGATTAAAAATGGTTAGTTCTATATATTAACAATAACACTACAAGCGTAAAGTATAATTTGTTTGACAATTTTTTTTGCTCATCTTGCTTTTAGACTATGGGGCATCACCATAATCTCCTCTATTACTGGGAAACACTTGATCCATCAGTCTATGAATATATGGCTGTTAAAAGATACTGCTATTAAATAATACTATTTCATACACTTCTTATTCGTATCAACACTTTATGAAGATAATGTCAGAGTAAAAAGAAGAATTACTAATTTAATTTAGAATTAACAACACATTTTAATAATTAACAGTGATTAATAATTTGGACAGGTTGAACGTGTGATTTGACCTCCAGTATGCAAACTAACATGCAAAAGTGGGCAGGGTATATTAGGAAGCACCCCAGTGAATAATTTACGAATCAGTCTTCTTAATGACTGTGCAACGTGGCAACACTCGAGACACAAGTTCACATTAAGTCAGAGCGGGTTCCAACTCACCGTGTAAGTGATGACGGCCAACATGCCGATCAAGGTCAAGGAGCTGATAGAGAATGACAGCGCAGGTAGACCATCTGCAGGTGAGAGGCAGGGGACGCATTAGAGACATTAGAGACATAAGAGACACAGGACACAGACGTGGCTTCTGCCCCTCATGTGGTACAAAATTCACCAGCTATTTGTTCATATCTAAACGAAAATGCCCATGTCAAGACAGTACAACCCAACTTATTTTTTGAGGAATACAATAATGGTTTTGTTAAAGAAATTCCTAATAAATGTGCTTCTGAGGTAAATGTCTTGGCATTTTAAGTTCAATTGTCCCTTTCTATTCATTCCATGAAGTAACATTTTGGTAGCAATTTCTCAGGATGCAGCAACTTAATTAGATAGGAAACATTGTTAAACCATTTAAATTAGAATATTTTACAAGAGAGTTTCCAGTAGGGTCCGGCAATTAATTGAATGTTGTCAGAATTCAGTCTTTTCAAACGATCAATTACCAGCTTGAGGTTATTTAATCAGTAGGTCTACAGCCAATCCTGTCAGTAAAAGCATGTGGTTTATAATATTTTTGTCTTAAATGGCACTAATTAAAAGTCCATCTTTGTCATGAAATCAATATTGAGAGCTATTATTTGGCAAAAAAATGTAATAAAATGGTGACCAATCATTTTAAAACAAAAAAGATACATTCTCTTTGCCATATTGTGCAGCCCTGATATTCCAGGTTTCTGAATGATGCGTGAACTATATAGCATAGTAGACAGGAGGTTGTATCTTGTCTATGTCTTTTTCACATCCATGTACAATTTTAGGCTGGTCATCTTGTGTCCTCTAGAATCATTACAATTCCCCCAAATCATTTTCTTAACTGCTGTGATTCCCACTGCCTGTATATGTACTAAGCTGATGCATGTCATCTTTGATTGGGGTGGAAAGTGGACCACCCATAAGCTGAGGGCACCCGTGGATGTCACGGCAGCTGTCAGAGTTGGAGTCAGAGGACAAGGATTGATGAAGAGACTGATCGGCACCCTCCCCTGTCACGATCCCACCTGTCACAGAGCTCAATGCTAAAGTCGCCCCTTAGAAATACTCTACTAGTCTTCCTCCCTGCAGCCTCCTCACTGTGCTCAGCCCACCTGTCTGCATCGTGCCTTTCTCCTTTATCCTTGACAGCACCGCTTGATTAAGAATATTAAGTTGTTATTTAGAGCATGTATAATTTTGGCTCCATCAACTCATGAGAGATGGACACAAGCAAATTTATAGAATTGTGTGATTCTTACAGCACTATTATTTTACCTTTACCTCTACATGCATGCTATCACAGTATGGCTTCTTAATACTTATATCTCATATTTTATTTTGAACAAAAATATCCAAGTATAATTCTGCCAACATAACCCAAATGTTCAGTATCCACACCTTTGTCTTAACACAAAGGTGGGTAACACAAACCACATTCGTATGCTGTACAATGCATTGACCTTAATATACCCTAAACAATGTTGACACTTGCTGACATCCTTCTTAGTTTGGGGGCAAATTTTCCAGGGCTTAAACATGGAGTATTGTCATCTATTATCAGCAGTGTGACCACGTTGTAGCTAAGGCATAAGCACACTGTTATCTTGGCTTCGTATAACCCTTCAGGCTTGTGTGCATATACACAAGGCTTTTACTGAGATGTGTTTTTTAAAGAGATGTGTTAGTCATAGCAGCCGCTTTCTGTGGAACGACAACATCACCAAAGGGTTAGCACAGGACACAGTAAAATTTACTCTCTCAATATTTAATCATCACAGTCTGCTTCTTTATTTGGGTTTGTTCAATGCAACATCAAAATAAGTTACAGTAAACACACTATACAGTATGAACCATGTTTTGTGTATTTAACAAACCACAAGTGGTGTCTCTTTTCCACTATAGCTACACTTCATTTAAGGACCATATTTCAACCATAACTATAATAGCTGCATTAGTGGCTACTAATGTAAAAAGCGTTCAGGCATTGCTATAACGCAGAAGCAAATGAAATGCTCAAGCCATTAAAGATGTAGTGGCTTTAATGAACAATGGTAAAAGAGCAGTCAGCAGGGTTATGTGCCAAAAGTGCCTTTCCCTTTATGCAATTAACCTCCCATCTGGAGCCAGAGGGGTGGGAGAAGGCATGAGGTATCCACGTATCCACAGCAGTGTGCCTCTCCCTGGGCTCCCAGTGAAGGAGGTGAGGGAGAGCGTGTAGGGGTCTGTGCTGGTGAGGAGAGCCAGATGGTTGAACTTCCTCCTTGATCCTCAGATGGCAAAAGGCCAGAGGACTGTTAGGGGCCCACATTTGGTCATGATCCTTCATTAACATTAGCATAAACAGGCCAGTGTGCCATTCAACAAGCCAACAGTAATATGGATTTCTTCAGAGCCATATTAGAGAGTAAAACAACATAAACAGTAAACATATCACATCATAAAGTGATAATAAAATAACTTACGGCTGCTTCCAAGTTCCTCAAACAGGTACTGCACCTTCTCCCATTGGGTAGTATTCTGATGTGGAGGCTCAAGTGGAACAAAGGCCCTGAAAATGTCAAATTATGTCAATGTTGTTTACTTTGCAATAAAGAGAACTTTATGCCATATGTGTCACCAGAGAACAGAGGACAGAGATATGTTAAACAGCCTTGTATTCAGTGTTGTAACCTTAAAAACATTCATTTATACAGACAAAAAACATACCCATGTCCTCAAAACAGAAAATAAAGAACTACTAAATACTATATTTAAGTGTCCTTTTGAACAAGGTTCACAGAGCCATGGATATCTAAGTTCAGGGTCCAAAGTAGTTCACTCGCTCGCCAAGTTTAAAGGGAGCAAACAAAGGCTTGTAACATCAAACCAGAACCCAAAGAGTGAAAATTCACCAAACAAAACTATTATGTCTCACAGTATTAGAAAACCGGTCCACGATAAAAGCCATCTTGTTGTTGGAAATCAAAGAGCAAAGCAACAATTCCCAGAACAAAGCCGCAACAGTTCCACTTCATGAAGTAAAATGGAGGGAAATTGCTTCTGTCTATAAAAAAGTCCAAACGGCCTATAGGAGAGTATAGATGTGTGTCCTTTTAAGCCCCTTTTCAACAGGGACACTGTTAGTGGTTATAGGTTAAGCACAAGGCATGTAGCTATCAAGACAGCTAAGAGAATCCATTGTGTCGAGATAATAATAAATAGGACTATACTAGTTCTAAACAATATGAAACTCTATCCAAACAAGTGCTTGACAAATACATAACAAGCACTACAGTAGAACAAAACAGCAATTTGACCATGTTGTCTAAACCAGAGACAACAGATACGAAGACCATGGAGAGGTTGTGTTATAACCTCTCAGTTTCAGTGCACACTTTTGTCATGTTTAATCCTGTCAACATTTGTTGTGTTTAATCCTGTCACAATAACACATTTTGAAATGTGATGTATTGTTACAGAAGGCAATAATTAATAATAATATTAATAAGTAGAGCAACATTTCCAGACACTCAATGTGACTTTAAAGAATGATCCAATATTGTTAAAATACCTGAGCTGCAACAAATAAACATATCAGAATGAACACTTTTGTGGTCAGTATCTATGAGTCATAGAAAGTTTCATTGTATTTGACCCTTTATATTTTAAATCGTATTGTACAAAACAGTTTACCTAAGTGTGCAGACAAAAGGTAGTCACAATAAATATTGAATGAGCTCAGTTGTGCTAATTTAGCACAACAATTTTTTTTAGCTACCATTTATTCAATATACTTTTATAAGTCATTATACTAATTATTGTAAGAAACCTAGTTGAATGTTTAGACAAGACACGTGATCCAGTTTAGGTGTGGTGTGTGAATAAGTGAAAAGCCGTAAGTGCAGCCTCTGTATTAGACAGCCTCAGAGCTGTGGTATCTTGCTAAAAGTGGGAATTGAATGAGTAATGAAATTTTAAGGTTTTGAGTGTCTAAAAAACAAACTAGACTAGATTTTAACAGGGAACTGATCAGGATAAATTGCAGTACATCTAAACCAGTAAACTGTTATAACAAAATTGCACAAATCTTCATTGAACTAGTGGTACCTGCTCCACTATTTGAGAGCCGCTGACTTTGAGCATAATTAAAGGGATTGAGTATTTTTAATAGCTAATAGTCTGACAAGTCTTGCTGTAGCTACCTCTATGGGTCCTTCTCTCATTACCAGATGGCAATTTCCACCTAAAGTGTCACAGAAGAAGTCAGCCGTGCTTCCAACTTACCCAATTAAAAGCAGTGCTATGCAGACAATGGCAAATCCAATTGTGTACTTCAGTGCGTTTTTTACTTGCTGGAACACACAAAAAGAGGAAAATTAAAAAGGGTCAATCACAAAAATGAGGTAAAATATTTTATTCACTGTGGTGAGGAAAGTAATGGGAAAGGAGGTGATGGGGTTGTAGTCCATTTAGCTAAGGACAGTAGAGAGTGAGAGCTTTATAGAGGTGCCGTAGATCCAGGTTGACCTAGCGAAGATAACGTGTCAGTCTCACTGCTATTCAAGGTGCTTTTAAAGTAACAATACAAAAGAAGGCTGTGCTGCTGGTGAGAAAGTGCCTCTGTCAGCTTAAAATTGACATATGGGGAAGAGAGAGCACTACCAGAGAGACTACTCGCATTTTCTACATCACTTGTCATCTATCAAAAGATTTTAAAGGTGTCACTAAATTGTTCTGTTGTTATATTTTTGTGTGATTTTTCTTTAGTCTGAAGTGATTCCTTACAGAACATTTGTTGGTGTTGTCATCGTCCCTTTCCTCATAGTAGAAGTAGACGAAGGGGATCCACAGAAAGACACAGAAGAGTATGATGGAGTAGAGGGCTGTGGGAGAAGAAAACATACATTATGCAAAATACAGTTTCTTCTTTTGTAAAACACAAATCCATTTCTCCATGCTGCACAATAGGCAAAGCAAATTGACATCTTACAATAGAGTATATTATATAGACAAATTTCATGCCTTCACGGTGAATCAATGTTATGTCTATGTGTATCAGGATAAAATGTATAAATACATTCTGAAGACCTATTGAGAGTTAACTGCAAACTATGCAGCTTTATTTCTAAGTGATTCTAAGTATGCATGTACAGTGACAACTACGACAAAGTTATAATCTTTCTGAAACCATCCTTTTCATTTATTATGGTTTGAGAATGTCACAAGAAGTTACATATCTAGGGCAAACATTTTTTTTTTTTTATTAAAAAAAAAAAAGGAATCAATAACACACTTCTGTATAAATCACAAATTCTAAGTCTACCCAACAATTTTGTATGTAGAGTTTGGGTACTTGTTGCACTTATGCAGCCACTCAGTGAGGGTAAAAGACTTTTAAACAGGGAGTTGCTATTTCAAGATGGGTGCTCCTTTCTTTTAGAAGTAAATGGATTGTGGTGAGGTTATTTCAGACGATCCTGAAATAACTCAATGAAAAGCACAGCAGCTCTTGGTCACAACAATCCTGTTAGTGAAAGGCACCAAAGAATTACTGGACATAAACTGTGCACTCTATGACAGGCCATACTTGATAAATCACTGTTGACAATCATTTTATATGATGCCATTTATTATTCACGTTTACTGCATAAGAACTATATTATTTCTAACAGACTTATTACATAGATATAAAACACGCAATCACACATTTTGCTGACTGAATCCAAGCTTAGGTTGCCAAAAGACAAATGACAAATCAATTCTAGGAAGCTGAACTAAACTTGCATTTAACGTAACAATGCAGCCTAAAAGTTGTATGAAAATGACTAGATATGTAGTATCAGTATATATGTATATTTTTGGTATTTTACAGTATTTTTGGTTTATTTAGCTAAAGGAAACTTGTTCATGCAATACAGTTGATATTCACTGTTTTCATTTAATATTAACATTGCACAAGTAGTGGTTTAACAAAGAAATATTGTTGCTAAAATGTATTTGGTTCTTAAAAAACAATAATATATAACAGAGTATCATGTGCCATATATCATTTATTGCCATATCGTGATAATCATAAGCCATGTATTGTGTATCGTATCAAATCGTGAGGAACCTTGTGATTCTGAGCCCTACTATGAAGTAATATGACTACAGGGAGAAATTAAAAACTTACTAGTACATGTATTGCATTTTCATAGAATTATGCCAAGTGGAAATGTGATGTGCATCTTGTGTTTATTAGAGATCATGTGGAATTGAAACGAGTAAACAACTTTTTTTCCCTCAGTAATAAAAATCAAGTTTCAAATCAAGAACAGTGAGGCAATCCTAGGATACAAGCTGAATCTGCTCTATATCAGTCAAGTGAGGATGTCTATAAACAAGTACAACACAGTCTTTTGTAAATGGGCTATATTTCAGGAAATGTTCTCGCTGCTGCAGACAAATGAACATCCCGGTGATTGTGGCTCGCCGTTTTGCCAGCTGTGACTCTGACAGGGCATTACTTTCAATAAACACATGCTCATCGCTGCACTGAGGTATCCATTTACACTCGTTTACAGGCACACCAAGCAGGTTTAGGGTGAGGTTCGGGACAAATACTGCATATGTGTATATCGGGTATATACTAAAGCAAAGGGCTAAGATTAATCATAAGTCCATGAATAGTAACGTAGAGTAAGAATGGGCCATATCACATTCACAGGTACCATCCATTACACTCTGAGCAGTCTAAGAAACACAGTGTGCATTTATCCAACTGACACAGCGCACAGGACTGAATAACACCGTGTCCTTAACCCAGGCACGAGATTTGCATTTCAGATTCTGAATATTTTACTCAAGATTTCATGACATTTGTGTGTATTAAAATGTGAGTGAGGACAAACAAGAAGATTTGTATAAATATATTAATGCTCTGATGAATCTAAATCATTTTGGGATTTATTATTCTATATTACAGAAACATTTATGTTACATGTTTGCATTTCATATTTTATCATCTTGATTTAGAACCTACAGGAGATTGTCTTGATTTTGAAGATAAATATATTGTTGAACAGAGATCAAACATAGATAGTATATAGTATCAAGATACAGCAGCTAAATAATGGTTTAATATAAAAGCATAAAAGCATATTGATCAACACTTATTCTAAGCCTTTTCTTTCCTGATCCGAGTGTTGTAACCTTACCTCAGTCCTGCACAGTGACTCTAGCCCCTGAACGCTTGTCCCTCACAGAAAAAGTATTACATTTTATGTGAAAATGAAATGCCAGGGGAGGCTGCACAGAAACACAGCCAGTGACAAAGGGCTCGGGAGACTGATGAAAATATCTGTCCGGACAGACACTTGCTGAAAGGTATGACACGAATGGCTTGCACTCTAATTTCCTGTAAACATCAAGGGAGGCATCATTTTTGGGGGCCACCGCAGCAGTGATAAGATGCTGAATATTGGGTCTAGATTTGACAGGGAGCAGAGAGAACCGGACGCCTGTGTAGCTCAGATTTGCCTGGATGTGTGAACAGCTGCTGCCTCCTAAAAGCTATATAAAAGCAGCACAAATACAGAGGATTCATTGGTCTACAGCCTCATGTTTCCTTCAGGAGAATGTACAGAGCTGGAGCCTGTCCCAGCTCCTGTGGGCCCGAGGTGAGGTACAGCCTGGACAGAGGCCAGTTAGTCACAAAGGCTGACACAAACAGAGACAGACAGACAGTCATTCACTACATTTACTCAGGGCAAATGCACACAACAACGATTCTGGTTTGAAGACAGAAATAATATTTAAAAAGACATGAGTTATGCCTGTCAGGATAATTACTATATTGAGTTATGACTGAATAAATAATACACCTAACCATTATCACCAATCACTATTTTTGGGGCTCAATATTTATTGCATGTACATTTTTCTTTGCTCTAATTTTGTAGTTTGATAACACTGACTTCTATGACAACTTCATGTGTCATTCTGTTATTTATTTATTGCAGTTTTACAAAAGAGTAAAATGAGATTATCCTGCTTTTAGTTTGAAGAATATTGTTTATCACATCATGATATATGACAGGCTTATGAGTTCCTTGATCTTTAAAAAATCTGGCTGTTACTAAAGTCATAGGACATCATTCAAAACTGTGATATTTCTTGTACTTAGAGAGACAAGGGTTAACTGAATAACTGCAGAGTTTCAGGAACTGTAACTGCAAAACAAACCGAAACCTCATCACTTCTCTACTGTTGTACTGGCTCCACTGCATGGGGCCTCTGGCACTGCTTGCTATTTGACAAAACAGAAGTGAGTCCAAACAGTTCCTCCGCAATCTCATCTGTCTATAACATATTGTTTCAGGAGTCGTCTCTGTTGTATTTGTTCTGTTCTCCATTTTCAAGGAATAGATTTTCCCAGTGAGCCCAATACAACCCATTGTCCTTCTGTGCTGTCAGTGCAAGTTACAACTAAAGATCAAGCAAGAATTTAAACCTTCACTTTTTGGATTCTTGTGGGAAAAACAATCAAACTAATAGGACTACAAGATCTTTGCAAAACAAGAATGATCCAAAAGCACAAACCCAATGTAAAATTGCAGTACTGGCATAATACCTTATGTCTTTGGATGATAGTGATTAGTGAAAATACAAAGAATAAATACCCAAGTATTTTAAAATACAATGCAATGTCTGTTGACCCACAAGACAGTTAGGGTTCTAACGTCATTGCTGCTGCCATTTGACATATTCTGTAGCAAAATGCCCTGCTATATGAGAAGGTATTAGTTGCTATTATTCCGTAATGAATTCAATGAACATTACAGTGCTCCTTTACAATTTACACAGTAATACAAGGTACTTTCCATTAATATTTTGTAGCTAACAATTTGGGAAGATAGCACTAACAGGCCTTTGAAATAGTAAAGGAAGCACAGGGTCAAAAAGTAGTGCAGCTTTCAAAAATAAGAAATAAACGTGCAAAACTATTTTAATGTGAAGCCTAACTCAAGTTCAAACTAGTATCACTTTTATGTTTTTCATCACAAACACAAATATAGCAACACTTTTATCAACAATTTCATTGGATGGATAAGACTAGAATTACACACTGAACTAAATAATAAGAGAATGCAATGGTATTTCATTTTTGTGGTGATACGGCATAGAAGTGATTTTAAAATATTTGTAAAAGTTTTTAATGGTAAGACGCAAGTGGTTGTTTCTGTGCATGCTGGGCCTTTTTCTTACTTAAGGCTCTAGTATCACTGAAACCTGTCGTCCAAAATAAAACTGTAATTTGTCAATGTTTCGAAGCCCCCTAAAAGCGGCATCCAAACCCTCTTTCCAGCAATTTCTGTGCACCCAGGAGAAGATTGGGACAAAAGAAAAGTTCTAGCGGTATATTTATTTACAAAATGGCTATGTCCGTGATGGCATCTTTTCTAAAAATGGCATTAAAAGGGATAGAGAAGGCCAATGATTTATTCAAAGGGCCCAAGGGTATTTTGCCCTGTTGCTTATGGGTCTTGTACTGCTGCTTTGAAGTCGTGAGCAGTCAGAGGAAATAAAATGGACAGAAGCTTGAGATTGAAAAGGCCAGGCTTTTAGACTTCGGAGTTCATCAAAGATCACAAAAAGCTATTTCAACTCGAAAAGGAAATGGTGTTAAACGAGACCAGAGACATCCATCCACTTATCAATTTGAGCAATGGAAAAGCTGTTATTACACTGTTACAACTGTGTTGGCAGAGTTGTGCATTTTAAAGATTTGCAACTGAAAATGTATAAATCATAAATTATCCCTGCAATATATTGTGACGTGATGTACAGTATTTAGTCTAAATCTGCTCTTGCTGTCATGACATTATGATTATTATTATGCTTCATTTTCACATACGGTAGGTGTGTTCATATTGACCGGGTCACTGTAATGAAGTTGGCTGAACCTTTACAACACCTGCTGGTTTCAGACAGGCTGATTGAGGGCATAGAATTGTCTTGGTTAAATACAACTATATATTGTAGAGTAAACATCACAGACAGAAAGGGGTGGTTGATGTATTGTGTTAGGATAATTGCTAAGGGAAATTGGACATAGTTGAAAATGTTGAAAATATATCACTCATTGCATTTAGACAATTATAGCTATAGAGAAGCGTGTGCGAATCAAACAGAAGTGTCAACACAACACATGCCAAACCTTTGTACAGCATGTCCATCAAATGAGTAAAAGCATAAAGTAAATAAGAGAAACGCTTGATAAGTGAATGTGCATATGTTCATTATGTGCTTTGAAAATCAGTCTACCTGAGAGAAACCAAACATGGATCAGAGCTGGGAAAGGGGTGAGCGTCAGCCATGTAATTATTCCATTTGTGAGGAGATGAATAGACAGCTCTGTCAAATACGGCCTTAAGGAAAAGTGCTCTTTAAAGGTTACATTTGTACGGAGGCTTTTGCATGTGTCACATGTGGAGCTTGGTCTCCACCTACTGGCAAAGTAAAAGGGAATGTCCTCAGAGGAGACAGACTGCAGTGTCTTTGGTCACACACACATACACACATACACACGCACACACGCACCCCCATGCACGCACGCACACACACACACACACACACAGCAATGTCTATATATAAGCCTGGACCTGGCAAAATTTATATTTACAGGTCAAAAACAAGTTATAATAGGTTATCACATCAAAAGCAGTGCCTTAAAAGTAATTAATTAACACAAATGACTTCTGCCATTGCAACACTCCAGTAAGACGCCAGCACATTCATTCTCAAAACAACACCATTACCATGCCACAAGAGCAATGTTAAAATTCAAGAATGAGGGTGAAAACTCTGAACCAATAATGTATTTGCAATATTATAAGATATGCAACTTTGTGATATAAAATCAATGATAACAGTAGAAATTGTGAGCTGCAGCGGTTCCCAGCAGCCAAAGGTTACAAGCTCGGAGAAAGCACATCATGGTGGACCTACTGCCCCAGGGCTATGATCATGTGATCCGCGCTCGAGGGAAACAGCAGTGTCTTTCAAGTCTTTCTATTCAATCTCCTGAATGCGCACATAGCTTTGGCATCATTCCTGCAGTAAATATTTATTATTCATATCATGTCGGGCCTTTCCTAGATGTATAGTCTGAATGCATTCTGTAGTTAGGCTTGAGGGGGGAAAGAAAGTACCACCAAATGAAACATTTCTGGAAATGGATGCACTAATTAATTAATTCAAAACTTGTTTTCTCTCAAAAATCCCTAAAAGACCTGGATCTGAGACAATTTTAACTAATGCTTGACAGTTTTCTAAGTTTTATGCTGTAGTGTAAGTAGCTCAGCAGTAAACTTGTGAAATTAGTGACAGTTCTTTCCTTTGCATGCATAACTAATCCTACTGACTTATTTAACACAGTCTGAACCATAATTTGTATTTGGCCATGTCATATAAAAGATAAAAGTAGCAACAGCAATAGAACAAAATATGTCAACATTTGATGATAACTACTCTATTCTAATTCTGCAAAGATGTGTACACAAACTGTGAGATGTATTTCCTGATGTGATGCTGTTTAGTGTCTGGCCTGTCTATTTGTGGCTGTAACTTGTCATCTATGTCTTTCCAAAACAGAAGGTGCATTAATAGTGCTGCTGACAGGGACTTTACTTAAAACATCTGGTCAACATCAAATGTCTTGATCAAATGTATCTAACCACAAATTATGTGATCTCTGATGTTTTCTAAGAATACATACTCAAGGAAACATTAACATGTTGTCAAAAGCTGTTATTGACATAGCATTACATTGACCACGAGTAGATGTTTACCTACAATTTTCCAACTGTGATCAGTGGGGGTTGTAATGCATTCAGGCAGGTACTTACTGTAATAGCCATAAAGCACAGAGTCCTCAATTTTGGCCCTCGTCACATTATCTGCAGCCCATTCCTAAAACATAAACAAATACAACAATTATACTAATATATACTACAATATAATTTGTAAAACATAGAAAACAGTCATGAGGCTATGACTAAAAATATTTTATATTACTAGTATAATCAGTTGTATTTAGTAAGTACCACCAAAACTCAGTCAGCAATGCACAAAAGATTGGGTTCACAAGATTCTACACTGCCCATAGTTTAAATTAATCCTGGGTGGCATATCCATGGTAAAATTGTGCCATTAAACTTAAAATACATAGAAATATATGTTTGACCTGTTTTATATGCAATATTTTTGTAATTACCAGGCCTTTCCAAATGGAGAAATGGTATACATTTCTTCTCTGTCAGTATAAAAAGAAGTACATTGAAATTATTTATCTTATATAGCTGCAAAAAGTGGTGGCACAGCTCTATCACACAGGTGCTTTGTCAGTTTAATAAAGTAAATTTATGGATCTAAGGCCCTAAGAAATAATGATAATGCTAGGGTATTTTTGACATTTTGAGATCATCAGTTTCGGAGCTTAATCAAAATGTGCCTGCTTGTGTAATGGTCCAATATTGTAATAAAGATCTTGGCATAATTTCAAAATATAATTTGTTTACTGATGTAATAACAGGAAGTTACCACATCTGTGATTCACGCCCATTCTGTCCTTTTTGTTTTGGACCAGAAAAAATATGCTAGGTATCATAATGTTATATAATTTAAACATGTTTGCGTAAAGACAAACTGCAGTAAGAGAGGTGAGTGTTTGATTGTGAAAAGTTTAGTCTATTCAGGTGGATTCTGTCTAAACACTATATAAAAGCCAGTGCCCAATAGCAATCAGACGACCATATCAACCTAAATGAAACCCGCAAATTACCTCCTGCTCATTGTGCCTGTACCACTTTGGCAAATCTTTAGAGAGCAACAAATGCAATGACTTGGCAAAAAGTGATGAGCATAGACATGCATTCTGCAGTTAGGCCAGATTAAGACATCGTAATTGCATAGAAAACAAGATAAAGGGGGCCATGGGGAAAAAGCATTTTGTTAGCATGTCTCAAATAGATTTAGCTGAGGTTGCTACAAGAGAGAAATACTAACCTTATATGTGCCATTGGGATATTTCATGAATGATACAAGGAATATGTCTACGGGAAGAAGTGCTGAAGTTATCAAGGCAACAGCCAGGGCGCATATTGCTGTGATGGTTGAAACAGCCTCGCTCTCTTGACGACTCTGAAATTTACGGATGTAGACCCAGCAAAAAGCCAAGATTACCTAGATGAAGAAAAACAAAAGAAAGATTACCAAAGCAATGCAACAAACATACAGAATACAACAATCCAATCCTATAAGTCTGTTAATTAAGAGGGAATACAAAATACAGTGTAACAACTCCCTTGAAAAAGAGAATTTGAAAAAGAGATTTCAAAAGGACTGGTTCAGCTAAATTGTGGTGTAATCAAAAATAAAGTGCCATATGCTATACATTAATTCTGAAATACTGTATGGCCCGATGACCCACTTAGGACATTATTTATACGGTGCTAGATGTGTCAAGGTGAAAAACACAAACAAATGTGTAATTGAAAAGGTAAGAAGCTGCAGGGTATTGTGTACTGAAAATAGCTCATCGCAAGGTGTTATAAAACAGCTGATCTCTCTACTCTCTCTTTATTCACATGACATTATGCGGAGAAAATGCAAACTTTGTACACTGTAGTTTGATATTATATTATTTTAAAGTAGTGCGTAGTTTACTTGAGCACAGAGACTATGTTCAAGAGAGCATTAGGGTTCAATCAAAATGTTGTATTCCAGGCACAGACCGAGGAGGTGAGGACACTACTAAAACTAGACCCTTTTATCAGGGCCTGCCATTCACAGCCTGTGCGATCAATTAAAGTCCAAATCCCTGAGCTCAGGGGAATAATACTGTGCTTGCATCAAAATAAGATTCCTTTTTTATTTAGACTGTGCTAACATATTGAGTTAATTGTGATAGAATCATATTTGTTCTCAAAGTGAAAACGTAGTATAAACAGAGAACACAGTTAACCGATTACATAAATAGACCCGTGGAGTAACAAGTCGGGAAAGTCAACTTTATCGTTAATATATTTGTAAATATATAAATAAACGTAAACCAGATTTAACGCTACGCCAGAATGTTAAGAATAGCTTATGTTAGCTAAACCGATTTAGAGCTAATATTAGCGTTAACAACAGACCGCGACACACAGACAAACGTATGTTTAGGCAATTAAAAAACTAGGCACGTCTGTGCCATAGCTCTATTCTGTGGAGATGCGACTTTTATTTGGCTTACCAAAAGTATTATAGTGAATATAGACCATCCGAGCACTGACTCGGTGAGCAGCGTCTGAGCCGCCATCTTCACTTCCTGTAATAACAAAACCACGTGACACACATGACGTTTTCTGGAAGAGCTGCTGACTGTGAGTTAAAATTGCATTTGTGTCTCTAATATTTTAGAATATATTTTAGAGACACAAATGGCAAATTATCACATAATTCTGATTACCTTATCCTTCATTTTTCATGTTAATATATCTGACAATGTTGGTGAGACTTTATCAATTTATACCAAAGGATTTATCTGTGTCAACTGTCTACCACACAGCCACAAAGCCACACAGTCTACTTGTAAGATGGAAAGCCAGTATGTCATAGAATTGCATTTTATTGCCATCCTACTTTCTTTTCCTCTCCGCTCATTGAGTAGGCTATAAAAAAGTATGTGAGTGTTGCACTAGGCTAGTTAAAATGATGCATTGTCAGTCTCCTATGGGCACCCCTATTCAGTAGTTAGTAGTTGTTCAATATATTATGAATCCTCCCCTGAATCGTTAGCCTTATGTTCACCAGAAAAATAGAAGTAGGCCAGTGACAAATCTGGTGTTGCACCTGTAGCTTTGGTCCCATGTGAAGAGCAGATTACAGAGTTTACTCTTGTGATCAGTTATACAGTCGCAGCTCAGGCACTCAAAGTATTCCCTCTATACGCACAATGTATTTCTGGTTATCCTGACCCTTCTCATTGGCCCAAAAAGTCAAGGCATTAGTTTTATGCCTATGTGCATTCAGCTGTATAATTCCACTATGTCTATAGGCTATTTGTTGTTGTTTTTATACCTTAAATCTGCCAACTTGTGTTATATTGTTCAGTATTGACCAGCCTTCTTAATAACATATTGCAAGGAGTCAAGGGGGAAAAAAGATTTTTAATAGCCTACTATATACAATCAGAGACCCTATAATTTGCAGTTTGCCTATTACCGGCTTGAACACTTGGGATGTAAGCTAATATCATAGACATTTTATCTTGTTTAATTTCTGATGCTCTAGGCTATTCGGGTTTGTGTATATGACCAAACCACTGACTTCCAGCAGGGGATTATAACGTATACTGCAGTGGATTTATATAAACCTCCTCAGATTTAATGTGAAGTGCAATGTAAGCGCTGGGTTTTTTAGGACAGAGAGGGGTTTCAGGAGGTCCCAGGCACCCTCCCCATTTCCTTCTACTCTTATCAAATTCATCTTGCATTCAGGCCCCATGGTGTCTCTATATAAAGAATTTGCTGTGTTTTCATTTTTACACCCTTCTCTCTACCCTGAATGCGTTGTGTCTATTACATTTATGGGAAATAGTGCCTCTTAAATGACAAAAGCCTACGAGCAGTCATGATTTACATTTGAGAAAATTATTAAAAACTAAATAGAATTATTACAGAAGTAATTGCTTTTTGATGGTGAGAACAGTGTTCTGTGACACAAGGTGCTACTAATTTCAGAAAGTGGAAATTATACTTGCCCCATAATATTAGAGAAGATTTGTCTTGTGCTAATTATATTTTTACCATGTTAATTACTAAGTCACTGGTTTGAGCACTTTTAAATTCAGCTCACAAAAACTGATAACAGTATATCTGCACTTCATTTCTTGACTTTCAGAAATGTAATTAAACTAATGTATTCGTGCACTGACGTTCAGTGCACCTAAGCCAGACCTGTTCCTTTTTCAAAGCAGCAAAATACTTTCATTATTTTATTATTTATATGAAGCTTGGCAATGGTCCATTCTGAAGACTGCTCAGTCTATTAGAAGTAGTGTCATGTAGTTGCCTAGCAAGTCCAGAAAGATAGCTCTCTGTATTTTTGTTCGTAAAGGATAGGAGATGTCAAGTGTGTATTTTGGATCTCAGGCAATAGTACATGGTTTCCTTTCAGTCTTTACCAATCATGGATGCACAGGCTATTAGTAGTTGCCCTTGTAAATAAAATCTGCCTTGTAAATTAAATTGTGAAGAAAATGTACATATTTCTGTGAAAATTCTGTGTTGTAAGTATACTCCACTCTAGGGCCTCATTGGCTGAGATCTATCATTTATAACTGTAATTTTGTTATAATGTATTACCTAAAATGTATTGCAGTTAACATATTAGTTGCACAGCCAGTGAAAATGGATATGTAGGTCATTATTGGTCATTAAGAACTAGTGAATACTGTCTATTTGATAAAAATCCACACATTAGATTTTCCTTTTTGGTCCTATATGTTTAAATCTTCTAAAATGATCAATTCTACCTCTGACTGCATGGAAATAACCAATAGCAGTTGCGATTTAACCAACTTTCTTTCACTACCTTCAATAGTCAGCTCAATTATGCGATCATTTTTCGAGTGGACCCTACACCACAGCTGCAGGCCAAACTGACTTTTATTGATGTTATTGTTTCAGTCTTCATTCTTTATCCAGTATTTTAGAGAGGATAAACTGGTTGTATTTAGGCCCAGGTGAGCATTCACAGGTTCTGAATGAGTATGCTTTAGGCTCTTTTGTGGTTTAAGGTACACACGAGTTATGTCTGCATAGAGATGAGTAACACACAGTGAGTTTTTGTTCAGCGTTTTGTCAATTTTGTAAATGATACGCTCAAATGGACAGGTGTTCTCCACTAAAAGCCAGTCACAACAATAGCTTCAATGCTATGATTAAGAGACTACAGTGATTAGTCGGCTTTTGTATGAAGTAAACAAACAGTGTTAATGCTTTGGCTTATGGACTGTGCAAACAGAGCAACACAAGCCCCAATGGTAAAACAGCATTTGCTTTTATGCATTTACAAACAGAGCAAACGGAGGAGCATAGATCAACACATAGGCCTGTAATACAAAATTGGACCTGGTATTGGTATAGCAATATTAAAGGGCGCATATTATGATATTTTCTGATCTATATTATAGTTGCTTCCTCATCAAAAACATCCCTGGAGTTTTTTTTGTTTTTGTTTTTTTTTTTCATTTAAGACACAGACCCTGCATATTTAGGCTGAGTTCTTCTCTCAAATGGAAAAACAGTCTCCTCCACCTTGTGATGTCATGAGGGAATTCAGGAAGTGCTCTACTGTGTTTTTAAACTCCATACACCTTTACTACAATCATTTGAATAATTTCAGCCCTAGAATTGGCTATATCGCTACTAAACAAAAGGTAAAAGGTAACTGTTGACTTGAAAACTACCCCTTCGTGCCATCAGTAGGTGGAACAAATCATTTTGAGCTTTGGAGATGTAGACGGACTAAGAATAAAGGGTTACTCAAACTCCAGGTATGTTTTGATGAAGTAACATCATAACATGGCTAAAAGCTCACAAGATTAAATTTTATATAATGCAGAACTTTTGATACTGTTACATTCAGTAACATCAGTAACAATTCTGTTTTGGTGTAATATAATATCATTTTTCATCCAATGATAAATTTAAGAGCAATGATTTGCAAATTTGTTTGGAAAGGTTTTCATCTGGGATATCTCTCCTGTCAAACTGTTCTGTGGCTTGTAGTGGCAGGATATGCTGAACTTTTGGAGACATTTTTGTTGAGACATTCAAAGGCAAAATAGCTATGGATACAAAAGACATTTCTCAAACTATTTTTAAGTAAAATATGGAAGGCGCTTAGTAGATCTATGCAAATTCAGGGTTACAAACAGCATGACCATCTGTCTGGCCTCTCTCGCTTCTATTCTGCATTTTGAAAAAGTCCTAAAAGCAAAGACATTAAAAAGACTGCTTTTGTCAAAAGGGCAACTTCACTAAAATGTTAGAGTGTACCACAAGACATTTTCCAGGAATAAATTACTGCACATGTATTTCATGTTTATACCTTAAGAACCACTATAATTATAATACCTACCTACTCCAATGTTTCTCAAGCAATGGTGTGTACCACAGATGGGACCAACCTCCCTCTGGCCTTAGGTGGATACCTCAGCTGTGGGTGTCAGTGGTGTAGCCCCATTTCAGGCTTAGTTTAGACCAATGAATAGTCGTATTCTAGATTTGGGTTAGATCTGGTTGTGCTCAGAAAACCATCACCTTAGATGGCTCTTGAGTAAAAAAAAGTTTGAGGCTTGCATCATTTTTCTAATTTATATTTGTATGATATTGATGTTTTACAATGAAACTCTAACACTCAATATATAATAATAGGTTTGGGCAATGTTGTTGCACAAGCTCATATGAGTTGACAGGAAATACAGGATGCTATTTCTCTTATTGAGGTGACTCATTGATGCATGAATCATGAATTGATCCTATTTCTTATCTCTTGTTTTTAGTGTTTCCTGAGTCAGCCTAAAGGACCTTGGAGCACACTGGCTGTCACTCTCATTTGATGCTTTGAAACATTTACCTTGAAGGATGTCTGGTGGGTCGGATGTTTCACCTTTATGCACTGACTCACAGCATACTTTATTTGTCAAAAGAAAATAAAAATCTCTATAAAAATACACTTTTTGGATCATTTTAATCCTAACATATATTTACTGAACTTTAAACCTCTGACTATTTCGCAATCTTCAATATTAATCTATATGTGATACATTTTACATGTAATTAATAATACATATTTATTTTCTTATCTATCTGCCTGTCTGTTTGATACTTTGAATTTAGTCAAGCAACTCACACCCGGCGAAATGCAACTCCAGTCTCAACATTTTTTGGCATCTATATAAAGGATACTTGGTAGTGACCCAAAGAAATGTACTATGACCATCCTTAGATCATCACATAGTTTAGATCCAGTCCAGCAACCCCAAACTGCAAGGTTTTTCACACACAACTGACGATTTTGGGTTGCTGTTTGTGCAAATGGGAGGTTAAAACAGGACATTTTCTTATATAATGGGGACAATAAATGGACACTGGTGACAAAGACTACCTCACAATATTGTGCTGATGTGGAGCATATCTTTTCTTGTCAATGTTAGTTTTATAGCTCATAAATATATCACTATGAGGGCTATTAAACACAAGTGTATAATACACCTGCAAAGCATTTTCTTTCAACTGATATTTTGTGGTGCTACCACCCAGGAGAATATATTTATGTTAGATGCCCTTCCCAGCCACACAGCCTGATATTTTTTAATGCAATTTGCCCAAAAACTTTGAGTACCAGTCCACTGAAAATAACAAAATATAAGAATATTTTCAATAAATTGTAACTTAGCCAGACAAAATACATACAATGTGAAGCTCACTGGTTACATTCAAAATAACCTGATGGAATATGTGAATATGTATGTGGGACATTTGTCAAGATTCTGAGTCAAAGTTAAGTGCAGACATTTAGCCCACTGCTGGTGTATTTTTGCTCTTTCTTTATTCTTTGCTGAATGTCTGTGACAGTCTCCTGGGGGGTCAGAGAGGCAGAAGGAGGAGGTGGGATAAAATCATCTGTCTAAACACTTACTGTAGGCTACGTGTGTAGAGGCAGAACACCTGTTTGTGTGGGTGTCTAGGATGGTACCACAAACTTTAGGGAAAAATCTATCTAAGTTTTTGAATTGTCTTTAACTCTACTTTAACTATGTAATGAATTAAAATCGGAGCATTATTAAAACATAATTTAATAATGGTTATAATAATATGCAATAATATCGTGATTTAATAATGGCAGATAGCAAATAGTTACTGGACTTGAAGATACAGAGAATGTTGTTGACTTCTGAGTGGGGCAGCAGCATTACCACATGACATTGCAGTCTAAAATAGTATGTATGGGTGTGCGATACTTTTGGCTGTACGCAGTTTAAAGTCATGCAGGTATCAATAATATTTAAGGGCTTACTAAATCTGAACTGTTCTGCACAGTTCCCGCCTTTTTCAATTTTGAGCTTGGGTGTTTTTATAAAACAGCTGGGCAAATCAAAGTGAATAAGATTGCTAGTTGATTTATTTTGAAAAGCTGATAAAAAAGTGAATGGTTTTGAATAGCACACCTGGACGCCTCAAATAGCCTTTGAGTTGGTCTGAAGCCCCAGTGGGCATGTATTCCCAGTGCTGCCGACGCTCCCGGTGCGCGCTGCTCGTGTTTGCTGAAGTCTTCTGTGGCAGTGCATTTCAGTGATAATGACAGAGTGGGAGGGCCACTCCGTGCAACTAATAAAGACCGCTATCTAGCTGCAATCCAACAGTGACTTTTATTTCTAACTCCAGGAATTCGGATCCATACACTCGCCGTGATCACTAATGGATTATGATTTTTACGCAATGTTTTTATCCCCACTGTCCTAGAGGAAACTTTGCCAGCGAGTGTAAGTACAACAATTCATTCAACGGGACAGTGTAGTTTTTCTTTCTTTCTTTCTTTTCTTTCTTTTTTATAGCCTCGCGGCATGCACCTTGTTAACTTCATGCTAACTCGCTGTATGTTACTTTTACGCACGGCTTGATTCCAGAAAGTTTTCTGTATACACGAGCACGTGTTATAGGAATGATTTATTATTTATAACAAGTGTGTATTTGAACACATGTAATGCGTTGCTTCAGTTGACGAACCTGTGGGACTCTGTATGTGGCTGTCAATAAAAATCTAGTTTAATAATAATACAAAAAATAAAGACCGTCAATTAGCCAATCAGCGGACGCGCACATAGTCTCGCGTTTTTGAACTATGGCAAGTCATAGGAGATGGACATGGACTGCTTGTTGTATTTTCTGTCATTACTTGCGTGTCTTTATTTGCTTTTAAATAAAACATCTTTCGTTAAAGTCCCCTATTTAAGTCCTCAATGAAATTAGTCATGCAAACCGTCGCCGCAGGGATCGGCTTTAGAGCTGCGTGAACTGAATGCATTTACAGAAATAACAGGAATAACATTACGCCTTCTCACAGACCAGGAACGTGATAGCTCTGTAGTACTGCTTCACGTCTACGACCTCGTGCATGCTTTGAGTTGTTGCAAAGAGACATGGCCACTCCGTGATATTGGAAAGTTTATGGTCTGGAGGGAAGAGGGCACAATATGGGAATTGGCTGCAAAGGCGCTGGAGTAAATTGAGTGAAGAAACATGAGAAAGAGTGCCATAAAACACTATTGCTTACAGTTTGATAGATTGATCATAAATTAACTTGATGTGTGTATCAAAGAATCCTCTATCTGATGTCACATGCACTCAAAGTGCTGTAGTTTTTTGCTGTTTTCGGGATGAAAACACATGAAATATAAGTTTTACATTATATTATACTAATAGGAGTTCATTGTAATGTAATTTATACTAGTACCACATTGGACCATAGCACCAAAACATTATTGTCTTTTGCTCATGGTATTAAAATGATGCTGAGAATTTCACTCACTACATAGCCAAATAATCCTTGGGCTTTATTTGCAACTGGAAGTTTCCGGGTTTGGGCTTTGCATGTGTTGCCCTTGGGCCATGAACAATGCTGACAGGCTGCAAATCACTCTCAATCCACCTTCAATACAGACCTATAATAACAAAGGGACTATAGTGCTACTGCTAAAACCACTTCAATGTCGAAGTCAGACACAAGACATGGCTATATGGTATGTACCTTTATTAAACACTATCATGAAATCATTATATTTGGACTGTGCTCTGTGAGTTTTAGTGTTGAAAGCATACATACCTGTAGAGCTATGCTAACAATAAGAAGTCTTAACTTGTGTAAACAGTGGTACAATTTAAACAGTTCTTTTTCATCACTAAGCAGCAGGTGTTATTAAAGAAATACAAGTCTGAAGATTACACATACGTTGAAAAAGGCTCTACCATATGTGACTTTGCATTATATTACAGGGACCTACAAGTTGGAACGAATGAAGGTATTAAACAGTGTCAAGCTGTCAACCTAGATATGTCCATCTATATTTTTATTTAAATGATGAATTATTGAGTAAAACCCATCAAACCATATCTTAAGATATTAGATACACAAAGAAGTCTTTACATTTAATAGGATTCTTGAAAGACGTGTTGTCCTCAAGATACAGCTCTAAGCCTGGATAAATGGGAAAACCTATGTTAGAAATTGTATTAACAGTAAACCTACATGAAATAAAAAACTGGAAGGCCAATAATTTCTGTTTACTACTGTAGAAGAAACAGCTAAAAGGACAAATGTTGAACCCAAATACACAGTTCTTGGATTGCGTTGGTATTTTGTTTAGTATGTGAAGTAAGTACATCGCAATGTGTTGTATTCTTTGGAAGGTCATTGAATGTGATTGAAATGTAAAACTATCTATTTGCACACAGGTTTTGGAGAGGCCTGCTTTCCAGTGACAGAGACATGATTTGCTTGCTAACATGGACGTCTTTTCTTTGGACTCTGAATTCCATTCCTTGCACATTTGGGATGGCAGTGAATGAGCAAACAGGTATTTATTTATGTTTGTTTAAAAGTCTAGGTAGGTGCTATTGAAATGCTCTACTGTGTCTGTGAAATTAATTCTGTCTATCTGTATTTGATTGTGAGACAAAACAGAGACCAAGACGTGTCAGGCCGATGATCCATCATGTATTATTTTGGACCGCTTCCCACATTTTTAACATTGTAGCCACATCAGAATTGGAAAGGCTGTTAGATTTATTTGACCGTGAAACTTGCATTTAATGGAACATATTTCATCCCATTTATGGTTTTAACATTGGACATTGTGAGCAAACCCTGATAATGTTCGTATCATTTACACTTTTGCTTTCAGGGAGGACTTTAAAGGCTATTAGATAATAATATGACAGTTAAAATCAATGCCATTTATTTGTACAATAATCACGCAGAACCATTTTAGAAAACAGGACGCATTTATTTACTTTACAACAAAATTTTGTAAGTAAATTTAGTTTTTCGAACAAATTGTAAGTATATTTTGAAGTAGGTTTGGTAAATGTTTTCTTTAAAGGTGCACTGCAAAATGTTTTTTGTGGAGGTAACTACTTGTCTCAACGGATATGTTATTGTTTTGACTGGAATGTTCCATATGTACATTATACATATCCATCTAGCGTAATCTAGAGCATGCGAAACAAAGCAATAACCTTTCCATGGAGACAAGCAGGAGGTGGGCCCTGTACTAGAAATGTTACTCAGTGCACCTTTAAGTACCACTGCAGTGTGGTATGCATGAAATGATGTTGTTGACAATTTTGCTCTTTTTACTCAGATGGCACATGTCCCTTTTTGAGTGTTCAGGATCACAGGTTTTCAGATGTTTTAGATCGACCATTGCAAATTACAGGTATGTGAGCATGCAGCTAAATTATTATAACAAAATTGCAATTTATCTTGAATTTGTTTTCTTGTGTTCAGGATTTGATTTGACAGAGAAGTTTCTTCAGAGAAAAGGCACCGTGTGGGAAAACCTGCCGTCATTTCGTTTGGGGAGCAGTCCATTGATTAAACCAACAAAGTGAGTCAAAAGCTTTTCTTTTATTCTTGTTTGAGAATACAACAATATACTACCAACCACATTAAAGCCTAGCAGGGATACATAAGGTACATCACGCAATATGGCATGTCAGGTAATATCTTCTGTATCATTTTTATTGACTGCAGTGTGATTGCTTTTGGTGAATCCATGTTTTTATGTTTAAGTGGCTATACTTATATTCATTAATATTAGCACCCTATTTTTGAAAGAAAAAAAATCTCATGCATATAAAACAAACATAGATACGACCTGTTCAAACCACAACCTCAATTTGCTTGGGCTAAAAAGGACAAGCTGTAAGGTGAGCTGTTGAGCAGGAAATAATTTGAACAGAATGAATATAAGTTATATCAATGTGAGGAGCAGTCTCTGAAGGGCAGAAAGTGGAGCACAAAGGTATTGAGATCTGAGGCTTTACAATAAGACATGAATATTAAAATAACATGAATGCCCCACAAAGGCACCATTTACTGAAGGCCAGAATCCTCAGGTCAGCCAGTACGAGTCATCACCTTGACTGTGATATGAAGCTCTGATGGGGAATTCATTTAAATGCATTATTTATGGAAGGATATAGCAGTTTTATGGCAGGAAAAACCAGAGTGCAATGGGCCAACATACAAAAAAAGGTAGGGCCAAGTGATTTGACAGTAAAAGATAATTTCTGATTTGATATGAGAATAATATAGTGATATAGTGAGGTGTAGTGAGATTGTCATGTTGTGATTTTATACGTAATGTAAAATATAAATTCACATTATTTTTTGGCGTATCACTAACCACTTCTGTAAGCAAGTCTTCATAAACAAGATTAAGAAAATGCATAAATAAGTGCAAACATGTACTAAGGCACTTGTTTTTTCTTGCAATAATAAAAAGCTATTCCCTAGTATATTATATTGGAATTTTGTAGGGTAAATGCTTTTTCCATTTTGGTAGAAACCCCATAACTTTTGTTTTCCATTTCTATGTGTTAAACATTTCACCAAAACTCTTGTTAGGTTGAATTTGTGTATTTACTCAGATTGAAACTTTGAAAGAGTACACTTTGTCGTTCTTCCAGGAGGGTGGGATATTTTTAGTTTTTTGCATGTCATGTAACTGTAAACATTTACTGCCCTACTCTTTCCTTGCCTCTCTGTCCTGAACTGAAATACATTTTTGTATCAGGTGATTTTGTTTACCCTCACTCTGACAGCAAGCTCTAAATACATTTTCTTCAACCTCCCATAGCCCTATGTCTGGGCTCATAATGCAGGAAGATGCTGGTTTTCAATGACACTGCTGACACTGTCATTGGTTATAGTGGCCAGAGCGGGCTCCCCTCTCATATCCAATTATCTAAGTACTTTGACAAGTGATACCGCATGTCAGCTGAGGAGGGAAAGCTAGGGCAATTGCACGAAGCAGGAGGCCCTCTTCCCCCACTGCTAAGACCTGCTAAGACATTGCTCACTTTACCTTGAGTATAGCTGCATACAGCCCTAACCAGTACCATCTAATGCTCTGCAAGCTCTTTGGCACACTATGTATTAGAGTGCATATATCAGGGCTGACATAGCAGTGGTACGTTCGTGTGGGATAATGTATGGCCTCACCTAATGCACATTAGGCTTGCATTTATGATGTGCTTCCAGACTATATAAAAGCACAGTGCTCCAACCGCTAACCATCTTTCAAGGTGTTTGACCTTGTCCCATTCTGATCTTCTGTTAGCTCTGTATTCACATAAGAAAAGATAGAATGTACTCCTCATACTTTAGAATGTCTCTCATCCATAATGAGAAAATACGCACTTTTGCAATCATAATGTAATATTTCTTTATTAATTTATATTTTAAAAAATTGGACAAGCAAGGTTAGACAATTGTGCATTCATTGTGCCTTAAAGCCTTTTAAATGGAAAGTGCTGTATCAATAAGGCAAATAATAAAAAAAAAAAAATTATACAAATATATTTAAAAAAAATTTGTAAAACCACAAATAAAAGTATGAACATAATCTCAATACATCTCAATAGTGGCAATGGCATTTCTGTAAACTAATCGATGTTATGGGCCATATTCAGTCGATAGAGCCTTTGACCTACTGACACTAACTTATTCTAAAATATTTCACAATGCATCTACACCATTGAACATGTGTATGCCTTTGAATCTTTAGAATATGTAATCCCTCTTACTTCCAGGATTTGTTTGGTGTAGACAGTTTGAGCAGTGGACAATTGGACATTGATTTACTGCTTATTAATTTCACATGCCTATTCTTAAATTGCTTGTCAAATTAGCTTTGTCAGCATTTTGAGCAGTCACCCTGCCATGTACACAAAATAATGCTGCTATATATCCATATATTGATCTACAGGTGACATAATATAAGTCTGAAGGATTATAGGTTCATTTTGGAAAATATGAACTACTAGAAATGGACCACTGAATATTGTGGGAATAATTCATACAACAGTAGTAGAAGAATCAAATCTCAAATACCTTGAACAGACTTGAGGTTGTAGCTTTTGAAGTACCATAATTTCCTTCTCAAACTAAATATTCTGCTAACCACTCTGTCAATTATTCTGGATGTGTTTAAAATTTAAACTCTGATCATAATCTTATTAAAACATAAATTGCAATTACATATTTTTCCTAGATTGTTCAGTCCTAGTACTTAAGTTGATGTGGCATGTTAAGTGGGTTCACACTCTAACATCTACTTGTTCTTTCAATTGAGCAACAAAACGACTGAATCTCACAATCTCTTTTGTAATAGGGATGGGACAAGAGCTCATGCCACAAGATCTAGTTAGATAAAATTGCTGCAAGATTGTGCACACATGTGGAAAACTAACCTTTTTTTTACGTTAGTGCTGGGGAGTTACATCTCTTGAGAAGCTGTAGTTCTAAAGACAGTGCTAATTTGACAGAAAAACTATGAAATAAAATGAGTTAAGAGAAAAAAAATCTTCTTTTGTTCTCATGAACCCAATCTCGGGTCTCGTCTTGTCATGAGGGAATTGCGTCTCGTACCACCCTATTTTATAATGCACTAAAGCTATGAGCCAGGTTATTTAAAAATATATATATATTTTATATATAGTATGTAGTGAGAGGTGATAGTGTTTGGTCAATGCACCAGATTGCTTTGAAAAAACAAACAAACAAACAAAAAAAAACTATGCAACTACATGGTTTGGATACACAAAAACCTTAGTCCTGTGTAATTGGTCTATTGACAGTCACTGAGAAACTATAATTATATTACTGAAAAGGTTCTAAAAGTTAACAGCATTTTCATATCTCTACCCAGTACTGTAGTGACATTACAGCTGCTCAGTAAATTGAGACTTTTTATCTGCACATCTGTATTTAGGAGTGACTCATTCCTTCAGATTGTAAACATGCATTGGACTTGGCTTGATCAGCAATATTCTTCACTCATGTTGGCAAGCTTCACAGTTCTACTCTTAAACAAGAAAAGAATAAGTGATGGTTTTCTTCTTCAGTGTTATGGCTGGGTCCACTTTGATCAGCTGGAGGATTGTGTGTCACTGATAGGGATGAGAGCCAACTCGGCTAACATGTGAGGTTTGATTGTTTCAGGTGGAGAAATGTGATCCTGTTAGTCATGAAAAGCCTCCTGGATAGGGTTTCTAGTGAGGCAGAGGACACTAAAGCTGTTTTCTGAGGATTCTCTCACTAACTGTGACTGCTGTGACAAACTCTGTCAAACCACTGTCTCTGATGATACAGGGTGAGTCAGGCAAGCAGAGGGCTCAAAGAAAGGTTACAGGAGGGGCGAATCGCTACACAATGTAACACGGGAAAAAGAAACATACAAGAGACAGGTGTAAAATAAAACAAAAGCAAGTAGGACTGAGGGATTTTAGGAGGGTTAAAATATCTGCTAACTGTATCCCATTTTTGTTCAAGTAGACATATTTTGATTCATGGAAGATCTCTTATCATTCATTGGCCCACATTAGGCTTTCGTTTTTGGCTGATTGATATTTTTGTTGTTTGGCCTTGGCTTTAAGTAAACATTTAGAGGAAAATGAGTATTAACTCTGTACCAAGCTATTTTTGTGTGCCGTTCAATAGCTAAAACACAGGGCCCTAAATGCATATGTGACATTTGTATCAAAACTGACTTTACAGAGTTCGCCCAGCAATTCACCTTCCTTATCTGCAGTGTTTTTTTTAGTATCAGATGCCTTTCCTGATGTCTCTCCATTGGTTGTACAGTACTGTGATTGGTGCAAAGAGATCTATAAATTACAACAAATTTACTGTATTTTATGCAAGCATGTACTGAAATGAGGAGAACCTTCACTGCAAGCAGTTGTCAGATAACAATTCAAAATGAACTTTTTCCTTTTGAACTTTTTTTGAGTAATTATTGCTGGTCGTTACATCCTTCTTGTTTTTGCTGTGTAGTGTGGTCCTCTGATGTAGATCACTTTTAAGTGCATAAAGGGAATTTGTCTTTCAAAGTTTGTTAAAAACAACCTTCAATCCGAAAGTGTCCAGTTGTGTCCCACTGCCAGGTTCAACCAGTTAGTCCCAGGAGGTAGTCAACACAGGGTCACAAACTTTGACCTTGTGGGACTCGGAGATCAAGTGTGTCTCTCTGTAGACAGGTCATGTTTTGAAATGAGAGCTGTCATACTTGGGGACTTTGTGAAGCAGGGTGTGAAGTCCAGGCCCTAACAGATGTGCTATTCGTTTAATGTGGATCTAGTAATACGCTTCTGGTCTTTCATCATGTCTAATACATTTGGGACCGTGGTTTACAGCAAGGAAATAATAGCAGAGCTGTTTAATAAATTTTCATTTTTATAAATTGCCATGTCACTGCTGATATTGAATTGCAGCTAAAATAGTCCTCTTTACCCCAAGGCAACAAATAACCCTCTCGTTCTTCAGCTAAACTATTTGATTTTTGGGGGCAGCTTTTAACTTTGTAAGTCATTTTGGTGTATTTATCAATTTAGTCGTGTACCACAGAATAAGAATTGTTAGAATTCAGAGGGCACAATAGCAGGTGCGTTAAGCTGGGAGAGAATAGGAGATGATATATTGGAGTGAAAACTAATTTTCAACCTGTCGGTATAAAGTCTCCCTCGGGCTGTGCCCTGCCTCTCCAATGACCTTATCACGGCAATATTATTATTTTGGTCAATCTTGATTTATAATGTTTATGCTTCTTCACTTAACACTACTAATCTCAAGTTTGGGTTTGAACAAGGTTTTGTTATCTTTTAGACATTCATGAAACTATTGCAAATAGAGGTAGTAGTTGGAGAGATAAGCCGAATATTCTGGTGCAGACCACATTTGGTGTGAAGCTGTATGCTATTTTTCATCTATAGGTTTGGTGGGTATGGGCTGTATTTTGTTTGTTCAGAACAATTTATTCCCATCATCTTGTCCTCTTGCTCACTGCCCATGCCATATAGAGCTTAGAGCAATTCCTAAATAATGTAACTTTCAAAATGTTATTATATTTTTAAAGTGCAGACTAACTTTGCCATTTTATCATATCCAAGCATATTACACAATTACACAAAAACATTCTCCATATTGTCTACGCCACTCAAAATGCCCAGTTTGACAGGAGATGTACCTGATACATAAATATAATTATAATTATCACATTATTCAAATTCTGATCCATATATGTGTTTTTCTCTTATGTCTTGGTTAATCACTGTAGTGCACAGAGCATCTGAGGTTGATGAAACCTTGAACAATGGTTTGCTAAAATCTAGTAAAAGACTTTGGTTTTGACTCTGATTCAAGTTGTACATTACCTAAATGACAATGAAGCCAGAGCTCTGTGCATCAGGCCAGATGGAAATCCGTTTTGTCAGGTTGTATTTATGACTCTGGCACAGAAGGACACTGAAAGGTTTTATCGATCATTGACGTTGACTGGCTTCAAGTCTGCAGCCTTGAATGCATTGTTCTTTGCTATTGAATGACTTCAAAGTTTTGTGTGTATATTTCTAATGCTATATATTCTGTATTGTCACTAAAGACCATTTTCTGTGATATACTTATTTGTAGATCCATATTTCCGAATGGGTTGCCAAGTGAATACTCATTGGTCACTACCTTCAGAGTGCGAAGAACGACAAAGAAAGACCGCTGGTATCTTTGGCAGATATTTAACCAATCAGGAATCTCTCAGGTAGGCCTACTTATTTCCATTTCCCTTTTTTATATAAATCCAGGAATTTTTAAATGTTATTCTTGTGTGTATCCTCAGGTTTCTGTGGTGGTCGATGGCGCCAAGAAGGTTGTGGAGTTTTCTTACCAAAGTGCTCTCAAGAACACTCTCCGCTACACATTCAAAAGTAGAGACTTGCACAACCTGTTCGATCGCCAGTGGCACAAGCTGGGCATCTCCGTGCAGAGTAACATTGTGTCTATGTACATGGACTGCAAACTGGTGGAGAGAAAACTGACAGATGAGAAGGAGAGCATAGAAACCAGTGGAAGAACCCTCATTACTACAAGAGTGGAGGATGGTCGGCCTATAGATGTGCGTCAAGAGATTTTTTGCCAGATTTGCCAGTATTTATGTTTTGGTACAGTTAAAATGTATGTTGGAAGGTGTTAACTCAGCAACCAAGATTCTACAGCAAAATATACATACATGAGGTTAGCCATAAGATATAAATTCTCAAATATACAGCTTTTGTGTCGTAATATTCAAGCAATTAAGCAATTTAAATCAAAATATTAGATCTTTTGAATGTGCAAAGGTCCTCATTAAGTCCTCATTAAGTCCTTCAGTTTAATTGGCACGAAACCCATTATATTTTAAAAAGTCATTCTCGGCTAAGCTTATTTATTTAATTTACATTGATAAATTATGTAAAATATGATCACTGTAGAAATATAAAAAAAGTATGTTGGTATCTTATATCCTGGTTGTATGCATAAATATTTGTTTTCTTTATGCGCAGATTGAACTGAAACAACTCATAATCTACTGTGACCCTTATATGGCTGAAATGGAAAACTGCTGTGAACTGCTTGAACCCAAGGTATTGCGCAGCATTGTATTACAACAACAAATTACAAGCTTGAATTATTCAGAGTGCAAATTTGAAGCAGAAATTTTCATAGTTTTGTCTTAAATAATGAATGTTGTTAGTGTACAAGAAATTTCTACCATGATTTATTAAGTGCCTCGTGTAGGGGCAGGAAGCGTGTGGACTGCTTCTTGTATATCTCAATAGGGTGTTCGTCTGTTCCCTAGATAGTAACACAATAACATAGCTCTTTCATCACAATAAATCAATACAGGCTTTGGTTACAGTAAGTCCAAATGCAGACATGGCCTTTGACCCCATGCCATTAGGAGTCCTTATAAGCTTGCTGTCATGTCCGTATAGAGTTACTCCCGGAGAACTAAGAACAAGAGAACCCTGAGAAGAACTCATCACTGATTGTATTTTTAGCACATTGTGGATGCAAAACAAGGTCCTCTAAAATTCCACCCAATATAATTAACTTCTATCATAACTTGTAAACATTTCATTATTCCATCAGAGCAAATTGAAATTGCATCGTAAAATAATTGTCCAGTGGGAGTCACAAGTTAGACTGTGAGCAGATTAAAAGTGCTCTATATAACTTTTCTGCTGTCTGCTTGTCTGCATGGGGACAACTTACAGGACAGATCTGTAGAGAGCTGATCCTGCTCACAGCAAGTTAGTAAGTTAGTTTGTTTTTCAAGATAGTTATGAGCAATAAAACACCTGTAATTGATGAATGCAGGTAACTACCCACTAATCTCACTAAAAAACGCATGCTTTTTCCAGTTTGTTCAGACTTGATTTGCCAGTGGTTTAGATCTGTGTTTGTCTTGTATTTGTTCTGTTTGATTTTGTACCTTGTAACTGTGCGTAGTGTATAAATAGTATGATGTTCGCTGCACATTGCCTTTTTATTGTGCAGCCCTAGCAAAGCCTGGTAAAGCCTTTTAGTCTGAAAAGTGTGAGCTTGCTGTACAGTGATTTCTGCCATGTAGCACCATGACAAAGGAGGTGTCTAAACGGTGATATTTTTCTATTGATCCAGTGTGAAGCCTGGGAGACACTTAATGGGACTTCCCCTCCCCTGGTTACCGCGCAGCTCCCGCAGATGCTGTCTCAGCCTCCATCGCAGCCCACTGACAGATGCCACTGTCCATCTGAAAAGGTACAATCAATGCCTCCTCCAAGGGCCCCTAATTGACTGTAGTGTAATGTCTGTTGTAACTGAACCAGTCCCAATTTACTCAGCATCTATTATTGGGACTGAACAAATCCATTTTACAAAAGGTGTGCTCTGGGAGATATACCAAGAAAGTATTTAAGTATAGGCAACAACCTCTTAGAAGTATAGGCAATACTGTTACGTGGGCATGCATACTTTGTTTTATATAAGTGATAAGATGATTGTGATATATGCACCTTTTGAACTAACAATATACTGCAGAGTGACTTAAATATAAAATCTAAGGCATTCACTGTAGCACACGTACAAACTGCGTTTCAAAATCAATATAAATGTGAAGGTTCCGGGTTGCTCTGCTTTGTCTAGGGATGTGTTATTAGACCTACAACCTGAGTATGTAATATCTGTTGAATTTCAATTCAAGAGTTCGCTGAGTGCAAACTTCTTCACTTATGGCCAGTGTTGGGGAGTAACGGATTACATGTACCGCCGTTACGTAATCAGAGTACAAATTATGAGTAACTGTATTCCGTTACAGTTACTGTTTCAATGAGTGGTAATTGGATTACAGTTACTTTGCTGAAATAAGTGGATTACAAGGCGGTATTTTCCTGTTTTCACATTTTGTGCTACATCCCATTTATTAATTTTTTTATTTCGGTAATTTCACTCATTGCCTGAAACCCAAACAGAACGCGCGCAATAAGAGCGATGGAAACGTCATGTTAAAGTTGGCGGTGTCAGTCACACAGTGAAAGCAGCAGTGCATTGGTAAAAACGCATTTGTGTCTTGGAAATTCTTCTCCCATGTGAGATATATATATAAAAAAAACTAATATAAAATCGCCTACAACTTAAATGTGAAACCGGAGCTACTGGCACTGGTGAAAACAACCTGCATAGACTCATAATATCTGCACTACTGTCCTATAGTGACCTGCCACATGAGGGGACACACAAACACAAACACACACAAACACCTTCATCATCGTCATCAACCTGAGAACCCGCGGACCACGTCTCCTTCCGTAGTTACAGCGCGGACACCGCCGTCTCGTGAGCCGCGTGTGGACCGTGTTTTCTCGCGTAAACCGCACTTCCTCCTGTGCACCTCTAAACCAGAACTAACACCAGGACTAAACCAGGACTAAAGCAGGACTGAACCAGGTTTAAACTAGGACTAAACCACGACTAAACCAGAACTAAAGACCTGGTCTAGACCAGGTCTAAAAATCAGGACTAAACCAGGACTAAACCAGGTCTAAACAACATGACACCTAACAGTAGGTTGACATAATTTAAGGTGATCTCATATAATTTCTCTATCAATAATATTTTTTAATCTGGTGAAGGAAAGGCTGATCTTGTTACTGTCTTTTAACAGACAAAACCTCTTATATTAAGATATCGTGGTCTTTGTTTCTCAACAGCAAACAGTTGCTTATTCATGGAGACTTGGGCTCAGACAAATTGAAGACAACAAACACGAATTTTCAGGATGTGTTTGCTACATTCATGTCGTTTAAAAAAACATGACAATATCAAGTAATCCAAAGTAATCAGATTACGTTACTCACTTTAAGTAATTTAATGGATTACGTTACAAATTACATTTTGTGGTGTGTAGTATGTAATCTGTAGGGGATTACATTCTAAAAGTAACCTTCCCAACACTGCTTATGGCTTCATTTCTTCACTATTTGGCCCATAGATCAGCGGTGACATGCATTGCTTTTTACTCGTTTCCTAATTTTTGACCAAAGGATTTTTTTTATTTTGTGGTGTGAATTGGAAATGGTAGATATTATTGGATTATTATGATATATTATTAGTCAGAGCTGGGTTCAACAGAATTTGGAATGAAAATGTTTTTCTTGTCCTCTGTGTTTGTTGTGGCTTTCGTTACATTGTCCAAAGACATGCATGTGAAAGATTATTTGGGTTTTTTTTGTTTAGTTTTTTTCAGCATTGCACCCTGTCTGAAGTCCCTAGTTGACCTTTTATGTTCTAAGGCTTTTGTGATAAGAGACTATCAGTGGAGAATAAATGTTACTGTCAATGCTCATGCACATATCACACTTTAACTTCTATCTGGTATAATATAATAGTACTTTTTAGGGGTATAACTTTTTATATTTGAAAATCTTACTTTTGACTAGTCACTTGGAGAACAGAAGAATTCTTTTTGTGAGACAGCTCAATAGATGGTGGAACGGTATGTTATGTCAACTGTCTTATTTCCATGGAAGGGCACAAGAACTACTAAATGAACCAAGTGTAAGGACAAAAAGTGATCCATTTTTCCCTGGAGAAATCAAATGCTTTGAAAGTTTCCTTTTGGAGAGGGTTAAATAAAGAATAGTAGGCAGTCTATTGTGCTCTGACTTGTATTCTCAGGGATGAACAGGTGTTGGTACAGTACAGCCGATAAGACCAGATGGCTTTTGGGGTCAGTGTCCTAATTACTGTGATGTTTCTGGGATTATGATATTCGAAATGATTGGGGCGCACCCTCAGTACTGGATGCTAAATAGGGACTTGGAGAGAAGCATTATGAGTGTTAAGTCTTTTCACCTGAGCAATCGCTAATCTTTTTTCCAAGCACAAAGGAGGAAGCTATTTTCCCTGGCTCTTAGTGTGGGATTATGAAAAGCACCATGCAAAAGAGATGTCCGCACGAGTTTGACACCAATTTGCATGAGTTTAAAAAACAATCACTACCAACTACTACAGTACACTGTGTTCTCTGGAGCAAATGTTCTTATTAAGGCATTCATGAAGTCATTAACAATTACTACTTCTCTTTTGAATATGTTTATAAAATAATGAGCTATAAAAAACTGTGAAAATAGTTTATCACAGTATTCAGAAGAATGGCCTAATACATTTATAATGTGAACTGCACAGTTACATACAACTAGTAGTAAGGGTGTATTGAATGCATGGACAATTGCTGACTGTCTGAGCGCACTTTCTAATAGGTTTATAGTAAAAAAGGGCTGTGGGTGAGTTTGTAGTAAATTTAAATTGCATTATTTGAGGAAAATGATCAAAATCTTCCCTACAGATCGTCCCAAAAATATCAGAGCTTACTGACTGTCAATTCACCTGGATTCTTAACAATCAGCATCAGCAAGAAAAAAACATTGGTCAATCTCTGCTCCTAAATTTGACCCCTTGAATAAGTAGCTACTAAACCTGAATGATTCTGAATGAACTATTCATTCAGAATGATTCAGGTTTATCAATTAAGTCTTTCTTCGTGCTTTAATAAGGCTTATTTAGGTGTAGTTATTATAGTGGTACCAACATAGCTAATAACATGCAATAAAACACGTTATATTATATTTGCATTTAGAACTACATAACAGAGTGTATATTGCAGCAGATTGGGCTAATCAGATTTGTAAATGTGTTCTAATTGGCCTCTAATGATTCTTAATTGACCTAGCAGGGTTCAGCTCCCACGCTGTACTGCGTCTGTCGGTGTATGTGAACTTGACTGTGGTTCTGGAGCTGGTGATTAATTACTTTGTGCAGGCTGATGGGACCGCTCAGGGCTACAAAACATACGGACACTTGGAGCTTTGTATGTTAGTATTTCAAACCCAGTGACATGCTGTTGACACTGTCCTGCAGATAATCCCAAGTGTATGTAAATCTTTGTCTCTAAGCATATTGAGGTAAATCTGTCTTTAATCTGCTCTGATAGACTGTGGGCAATAGGTGCATGTGAACTTTGCTAATGGATTATGTTCCAACAGTCATCAATGATTATAGTGTGCCATTCACCAGAATAAGGAGTTCTTTTTCCCATTTCTGCAGGGCATGAGCCAGGGTGTGCACTGTTAACGCTTGAAATCTAATTTCAGGTCTTCAACAAATCAATACCTGGCACCATTTGTTTACTTACCAAACAGCAAAATTCATAACAAATCCTATTATAGGCTTGAACACTAAATCAATGAGGTTAGGGAAAATGTTAGCAGGGTTGCAGTCTGCATGGAAATACAGGTATGCTGCAAACACTGCTGATGCCTAATGCCCTGAACTCATTTACTTATGCATAGCCCAGACAGGTCCTTGTACCAGAACAGGGTGTGTGATTTATTGCAATAAGAAAGACATTTGTCAAAATAAGGACAATCAATATGTCTGCAGAAAGTGGCTTAAGTGCCACTCAGCCAATTACTTGAGCTCACTGTGGTGCATCAAGAAACTTAAACGCGTCTGATGAAGAATTTTGATTCACAACCAAGTAAGGCAAAGGATGTGAAGTGCAATGGCTTTAAATATTATTTATTATGATGCAAGGTGAATTGATTTTTACATATACATCATTTTAACATGGTCAAAGTTTGATATTTCATCTGTACTGAATAGGCACCTCTACCACCAGACATACAAGTACATTTTTAATAATAGTCTATGTCTTAAAGGTGCATTGTTCAACTTTTCTGTTTGTTAAATGCTTTTCTCCGTGGAGATGTCATTGCTTTGGCTGGAATGTTTCATGGTATGGTATTTAACATTTTATCTTCATGAAGACCAAACCAGAGAGGTAACCCTGCACAGTATGCCTGTTTTTGTAGGTATTTTTTGAGCTATAAAACCACCAGTAATTTAATAAATAAAGTAAGGTAGAGCTGTTTAATGTCATACTGTGGAACATTTCAGGCAAAGCAATGACATATCCATAGAAACAAGCAGGCAACAGATCACCAACCAAAAAGTTACATAGTGCACCATTAAATGTAAAGTGAATGGTAAAGTACTTAATATGCAGGTAGTTTGTCACTCTAAGCTTCAGGACCTCAACACATTTAAATGTCAGTGATCATTGAGTGAAAATATTTCTGCTGTTGTATGGGATTAACAGTGCTGTCAATGAGACTGCAATGTTTATGTGGGGCCATCTGTGCAGTATATCAAAAATGTCATGCTTTGATGCAGACAAGTATTGTAATCGCTTTTCTTCAGTTCTCTGTGACCTCCCTCAACATTAATCTGTCTGCTAAATCATGACCACAGTACATTTGAAAATATATTAAATTTATATTGATCTCAAAATATATCTAGGGAAGCCCCATTGACTGTTAAGCAGCTCTGCATGGTTTTGAGATTTATATTGTAATGCATCAAAGCAGGTTAACAGTGTCATAGTTAACAATTAGGCCTATGTCATGAGATTACAATTTAGCAACATGAGATTTTGCTGTAAAAATAGCAAACTGTCAAGAGTGCAACAATTTAACTTGACTTTGTAGAGATTAATCAGACATCTGGCCAATTTAGAGCCTTTAAAACATCTATAATGAGAAGTGCAGGCCAATCAGCATGACCTCCGCAAAGGGCCTGAGGAACACTGTGTGGGGATTACTCTAGCTATTTTACTTTCACCCCAAAGTACCATCCTGCATTACAGTGAGTTTGACGGAGGATCCGAATGCTCTGCAAAGGGATTACCCGCTATGATTAATCCACAATCCCTCAGGAAATTAAACAGATAAGTAGTGAGTTATAAGAATGCAGCAAAATCCATTTTCTATGGCCTTGCACATAAACCCTGGTATTACTAGACTTACAGCTCCTCTGCACACATGCATTGCAAACAGACAAGAAAGTAATGAAAAAATGTAATGAGGATGTTAAAACTTCCCATCTCGTTACTTCAAATTTGATTTGCATTATTTGAAAAGCTGCTGCATTTCAATAATGCTTAAATCCAATCTATAAGTGTGCTAAATTGTAGCAGTAAAGGTTCAGGTTCAAGAATCATACACTGAAGGGACTGTAAAGTACTTAAGTACTTCATCTTTTGGTTTTCTTTTCATAGGCAATATTCTCACAATTGTAATTTCTCATGTCTTCAATTACTTTATCCTGTGGATGATACATCGCCCACTTAAAATTCATTTCATGAATTTATAAATCAAGACCCTTGAAAAACTTTCATTCTGTGGTCATTGTCTATGTGATGATGATGTACTGTTGATGATTATACATATCATCAACAGTACATGTTTATTGTAAGTTTTTATGTGAGTATAGTATTTTTACATCCCATACACAATGTGAAAGCACACTTATCTTACTGGAGTATTTCACATTTTAACACAAACTTAACACTGAGGAATAATAGCATGTAGCTGCCTCATTATATTTAGCTGCACTCTCCTATATCTGTGCTTTAACAAACAGGGCTTGAAATGAAGATGTGCCCATGAATGGGCATTGTGCTTAATTAGATTCTTTGCTTGCAGCCACTTCTTTGTTAGTTTAATTTGCCAAATCACTATCAGCCTCCATCTACTCCTCTGCACAACCCGCGGATGATTTTCATGCTTATCCTGCCTGTTCACACTGGTTTAATACTACCCTGTAAGGCGATACCACGAGCACAATAAACTCTCTTTTTGTCCTCTCTTTAAAATATAATAAGGTATTACATTGGTAATGTAACCCTTAACCAGGGTCATCATAGCCAGTTGTTGGGGGAATATTATCCGTCTATGCAGCTGCTGTGCCACTGTGTCAGCACACCAGTGCAACAGCTGTAAGAGCAAGACCTCTGATGAAATGACAAACCTCCATAAAGCTTTTCTCTAATGTGTGAACTAGGAACCTTTCACTAACTGTGTGTCTGTGTTGTTTCCTGTGCCGACTGCAAACCAGGGTGACAGTGAGGCTATGAGCTCTGGACATAACCTTAGATATCTCCTCTGCTCATTTGTTGTGTGGGTGACTAATTGCAGCTATAGGCTGCAGGCGGACTATGTCCAGTACAAAAGACACTGACACAGGGATAAATACTGAATGGCAACTATTCATCTGTTTCATGTGTGATATATAACGACACTTTAACATTAGGTCTTCAGATACTATGCTAGTCATGGTGTATTTGTATCTGATTTTACCCTAGTTTAGTTTAGGTACAGACCTTGTGCACAAAATATATATATATATTTTTTTAGTTCTACTTGGTGTGGAAGGTTTGAGAACAAGTTCTCTAGCTCATCTTAGAATGTTTGTAGATTTTAGGGACCATGCATGACTCGCTGGCTAATTTGGTGTGACTCGAAAATCTGTGTGAGATTATCTCCTATTGCAGCTGAATTCTTTCTATACTTACTAGATTCTGTCCTGATTTTGTTTACATTTCTGTCCTAGTAGTGGATTCAATCTCAAGGCAAAATGAATCCCTCTGTGATTTCTGTTTTGTCAACTTGTTCAAGTCATGATTCTGACCTATTATTGTCACTTGTACTTGGAAAGAATAATTTCAGAGTTGGTGTGAAAATCTGGCAATTTACAACTCTAAATCTACTGACAGCCACCACGAACCATTACATTGCTACTATCAGCATGGTCACTTGCTTGGTTGGCATTAATTAGTTCAACAAATGTCCTTTTAGCAGAGAGGGAAACGGTGCCACAGAGTAGACTGGAGGAGCCTTGGGAAATGTAGTCCTGCAGTGTGAGTGGACACAGTTGGTTGTGTTTTTGGAAGGGAGCCAGGAAGGGATCATGTCCTTGTCACAGCTCGAGGAGAGGAAGAGGCTGTGCTGGGGTCGTGGTGTCAGCTACACTGGCCTTCTGCAGAAAAGTGTGGGGCTAAAAGCAACCAATTAGAAAGGATTTGTATGGTTTTCCTCATCTTGGCTCGCACTGGAGCATAGTCATATTAAACTCTGTGCTATTTAATATGGGAGAAAATGTGTGCACGTGTAATAAAAGCTTTTAGACAAGAAAAGTGCATGTAATTTCACTTTGATGTTAATTTTATCATTTGAAATTGCACAGAACTTCTTTCTTTGTAAGCTGTATGCATTTGTAAGAAATACTTTTTAGTTCTTCCATAGCTCAAATTGTTCTTTCCTCTTGTTTTAGGCCTATTACAAAGTTGAGGGTCAATTAAGATTTGATTTGGTCTTGGTTTCGTCCTCATCTTGACCATGTTTCTCACATATTTATTTATATTTTCCTGTGGCTGTTTTGTAATCCACTTTTCCCCTGCTCACACAGTAACAGCTGAAATGATACGGTTACTCCCGGACACTGCAATATGTCCATTTGTCTAAGCTTTATTGGCGAGCTGAGGTCAGAGGACTGTATAGCTTTCACACTATAAAAAAGCCAGCTAATTCCAAGCTTGGCATTTCGGGTCGGAAAACTGCAGCTTGGGAATCTGTTACCAGGGTGATATTTGTGGAAAGTAAGCCGCTAAGATGTTAGAGAGAATTTGTGGTAACAGTATAAGCCACTACCAGCTTACTCCCCCACTACATAAGGAATAATAGTCATGATATGGACTCGGCTTGGGGTAAAATAATGCAGTTCATGAAGCCACAAGGGTTGCAGCAAGTGTTGGTAAGAGCTTTTTTATCAGTATCACTGCAGTGCAAGGTGTTGTTCATTGCTAAAAGAGCCCTGAGTGAGTTTGGAGGGTATTTTTTATGGAGCCAGTAAATGCTAAGAAAGTTGTGGCTGCTGTCACGGGCTATAGAGCCATTTGTCTTTATAAACAGAAAGGGAGAATGTGTCCCTTAATGTAATAGGAATGATAACAAACTATTCTGGCATTTTGTGATTATCATACATACAGATATAGCCCTTGGTAAAATGCCATTTCTGAATAGTCTCCATCTTCCTTAATTAGTTCTTTGGGCCGTCGTGTGCTGTTTATTTCTGTGGTTCTCCAGGGTATACCATGCCCTTTAAACCTTGGATGTTTTATCAATGCTTTTCTACAAGCAGAATTCTTGGTTAAAATTTTCTTGTAATTTATGTTGCTGCAGGCTCACTATGTTGTCTTTCATACCACACTTCTTGCTTGTGTTTCCACTCACTTGCATAATACATATTGCATTATCAGCCCAGTGTAATATCCATATTGCAAGTATGCCATCAACTTATCTCCATGGTGAGGGCATTGCTTTTCCACAGTATTGATACTTTGCATTGACGTCATGCTGGGGGTGTTCTACATGTACTTGTATGTGTACTGAAGGGATGTTCACCTGTTACCATGGAGACACAGCCAAGTTAATTTTAAGATCCCCTGAAAACTCCTGAAACCTGAAAAAAAAAATACAAAGTGGATGTAAACAACACATTTTCATGAGCCTGTGATCAGGTGTTTAGGTGTTTCAACAAAAAGGTGAGTATAACTGAAAAACTAGCTACTATTAGATAGTTTGAGACTGTAATGTTATTTGAGAGGGCACAAATCATCAGCTGCAAAGTATCAATAACTTTAAATATATCTATCACCATCGAGACAAGCCGGAGGTTTCACCAGCTCAAGTTATAGGTCATATCTGTGGAGAGGTGGGCCTACTTACAGTGAGGTTATTTTTGAGCCATAGAAACACCCACAATGAAGTAAACACTGATACATTTGATGCCATACTGTGCTGCATTCATTGCAAAACAATAACATCTACACAGAGATAAGCAGGTGACTCATCTTTAAAAATACTAAAAGAAAATATTGTTTACTTCGTGCAAAGTTATTCCAGTAGCTAGTCTAAATTGGCTAACCACTGGATGAAAGGAATTTGAGCTTGTGAACTTTTTCCCCAAGTCTTTAACTTTCAATTTTGTCATTGCAGGGGGAAGTTGGAGCAGAAGGGCAAAAGGGAATCGATGGGGAGAAGGTAAGTACTACTATTTCCAGCAGACATATATTCCATACATAGCACATCAGCCCGATCTCGTTTTGTCAGAGAATCAATTCTTATAGGCTTTTCATTTTCTGCACGGTGCCCGGAGGTATTCCAGCTAGAGCAGACTTTTCAAGTGCTTGTCTTATCTGGAGTAGATCTAAAGAGTCCTAGCCTGCAATGTCCTTCTCCACTCAAATTAATTTAATATGTATGCTACTGACGTTTGGCATACCAATGAACTAAACTAATTTTGCAGATTACTGTAAGTCCCTTCCCTGTCTCTTCAGGTTAAACTTTACAACATGCTTTAAAATCCAACCGCAGTGATTTTGTTAATGCGCTGAAGTAAACGGATGATTACTATCTGGATAGAGTACCACTAAATTAATCTGAAAGTATTTGAACAAAAAATCTAAGGTGAGGAGGACTTTTAAATGTTTTTTGTGTTTGTTGTTCTGCCAGAAGCAATATTTCCTGGTATTTTTATTGCCTAGAGCGGAACAATCTCAGCCCACTGTTCAGATGGTCAGTCTAACATTTTAAAAAGGCGAATCATTTCTATTGGACTGTTTTCCTCTTGTCAACAAACTGCTGCCACAGGAAAAACATGTCAAGAAAGATGGATTTAAAGAAAGTCATGTACGACTGCTATCGGCGCTACAGCATTTTATGACTTAAGTTTTTTTAATAAATAACAAACTAGAATAATGCTTGATAATCATTTTTGTGGTTATTGTCTATGTAAGATTTTGGATACAGTTTGTCAGAAAATGTTTTGCCTGTTGTTGTAGACAAAGTATTGTGGCAGTTAAAGTTGAGGGGAAGTGGGAAAAGTTCAGAAAAAGTTGTTGGCAGGAGGTAAACAAGAAACAAACAAAAAAGTTAGACTCTCACAGAAGGAAGGTTAAGTAGCCTCAGACATCTCCAAAAGCCAGCTGACGTCATGTACACATTTGCATACGAAGCAAACAGTACTTTTGAGGATTAGCTTTACTAAAAACAGACAGCAACATCAGTAATTAATCTGTCAGTTTTCTCCTTCATGATTTGATGTGTGTTTATGTTGAGTTTAATTTGTTGATTTCTACCATTCCACCATCATCACATAGTTTGTGCAAGGCTCTGCTTTCCACCCTCACTGTTTACCCCTGCTCTTTATTCCAATGGACTTAAGTGGTACTTGTAAATCTGGTTGAAGTGTGAATGCTTACTCACTCCATTGAAAACATAGCAACTGAATAATACTGTTAATAAATGAGATGTTTTTTTATACTATTAATTAATCTTGTTTAAAGTAAATATTTCAGATCTCCAACTAAAAAAGAAGTGTTTGTATTTGAGCATGGATAAGGACAGACTGGATTTCAATTTTGTGTCACTTTCAGCTATTGAATTTTTAGTTTACTCAATTTGCTGCATGAACATCTGTGGTCATACATAGATTTAAAAATCCTACAAAACAAAGCATTGCCAGAAGGTAAAACTTGAGGCATACGTGCCATATTGTAGTCAAAGCTGTATAATGCGATTAAATGAAGCAAAACAACAGATTTGGAAAAAACATGTCTTGAGAAAATGAATCTTTGATTTTTTTTTTTTTGTAAGTCCAGTGTCTTTACCTCTTCTTTGATGAAGCAGCAGTTTTTTGCCTGTCTACAACCTCTTTTACAAATTTTATGCAAGCTGAGAAAATCGAAGGTCTAATATTGGCTGCTGCCAGTGAAATGACGTCATAAATCACGCCACTGGAGGATGTTCATTATTAGTGCGTTTTGCCACTGTGCTGTTTTCTCAGATTTATTCCATTCTTTAACCTGACTCTTGCATTTCATAGAGACGAATATTAAGGCAGCACACAGAAGTAAAAGGTATAATGTAGCCTGGGTCTCATCAGGCGACACAAGGCACTTCAGGATTAATGGGCCGAAACCAGCTCCGTTTCCCCAGCGGTTCATAATGAGTGAATGAAGTTGATTCTCATCGACTGCATTTGAGTATAACAGGGGCTCTCCTCTTAACCAGCTCCACACAGCCCCTCCAACACGTATGAGTGATTAGCACCAATGACAGTGCATTAGTATTAACCATTCACAACAAATTAAACACAAAATTAAATTGTGTGTTTGTTTGTGCAATTCATTTCGTTTTATTTTGTCTGTTTTGCATTGAGCTCCAGCTAATGAGAATATTATTGCCGTGTGCCCGCTTTAATTAGGCATATTTATATTAAAGTAGACCCAATGCACTTTATATTTATTTGGAGAGGAGGATTGTAAAATGGAAATGAACAAGATTTATGTCACTATTAGTGCATTTGTGTGTGCATAATTTCAGTGGTCCCATTTTACTGTGTCTAGTACTACAGAGACTGCCTTGCCAGAACGCTCCCTTTACTGCAATTAACTCATCGTCCATTTTTAAAGCTACGATGTTATTTAAGGCTCAAGTAGACACCTGAGAGGCCAGAATTCTGTGTATGAGCATGTGATCCCGGATCGTTTTGCAGATACGCGTCCTATGGGACACAGGCTGAGAGAGACACCATGTTATTCTAGGGATAATCTATGTATGCATTTGTGCCTACATACAAGATGTTCTTTTAAAATTATGAGATATAATATAATCTTTTACAGTCACAGTGGTCTCTTGTCTCATTTATTTGTTATACAGAAGACTAATATATATAATATTTAGCATTGCACAGAGAGAGGTAAACTGACATAAGGTCAATTTACTCAAATACTGTATTTTTAATAACACAACATTTATACTTCTAGCAAAGGATTCATACTTAAATCACACTTTTCACTGGATAATTACAATGTATTGGTTTATGTCAGTATTTATAGTATTTTTTTCTCCATCAATATCTTTACAAGTAAAAACAACTTAATAACTTAATAATACTTTACTACTACTTCTACTTGTGTTCCTTTAAAGTAACAATTCTCCAACCCAAGCAAAACCTTTGTCCATCCTTTACATTGTCTTAAGTATTATATAAACCTGAAACTTTTGTTGTTACTTTTATTGTTTGGAAATAGCAGAATTTGCACATTATGCAATCTATTTAGTGGGCGTGTTTACATCAAATCTGCAATATTCTAAGTTCAGCACTACTTCGAGTCATTTCCTCAATGTGTGTGTATTGTGCACTCTTTCTGGTCACCCCCTCTGATGCTTTAGATTAGGACTTATTGCTCAGCCTATGTGATGGTGTATCGCTGAGCAAATGGAAAGTCACAAAAGGCATTTCCTGCTCTAACCTCCTCGGCATTTGTAGGCCGGCACTCAAGATATCTGTGTTACTCATGGATCTGGTTCCACAGTGCTTTAAAGGACCTGTCATTCAGTGCAACAACATTTCCACACCACAACCTCCTCTGGACACAGTGCTCATTTGCAATTATAATGTACTATAGGCACGAACACTTTTACTAATTATCTAGCATGGTGCAGCCCCCTTTTGAACATGTTAGGACACTGCATTGATGAAATTAAATTTAAAGGGCTCATATTACGCAATTTTATTATCTATGATATAATGTTTTTTTTTCGTGAAAAACATACCTGGACTTGTGTTCTGTTTTAACACACAAATGCTTCATATTTAGGCTGAGGTTTTCTCTCAAACAGAAAACACTCTGTTCCACCTTGTGATGTCATGTAGTAATACACAAAGTGCCGTACTGTGTTTTTAAACTCCATACATCTTCACTAGTATTATTTGGATGATTTCAGTCTTGGAATTGCCAATCTCTACTGAACAAAAAGTAAAAGATAACTGTTAACTTACACCATCACATCAGGATCAGAGAATTTGGAGATTTGGAGATGGAGACAGACTTATAATAAAGCAGTAGGCTACTCAAACATCTATGAATGAAAAAAAAAAACACAACTCTAGGTATGTTTTTGATGAGGTAACAACATTGTAACATGGCTAAAAGCTCACAAGAGACAATTTTGTGTAATATAGGACTTTTAAAAGAGCAAACAAAATCCATCCTTATAAACAGACAAAGTTAATGTTGTTTTAGTATTGATAATAGTTGTATTAATAGTAGATGCTGTGGTGCTCTTGTTATGTGACTGTTTCAGAAACCCTTTGATGAAGTGGGTGTGGTAATAATAGTCCATGAATACAAAGCTATACAAGAATTACAATAGAACCATTGAGGTACAAATTTTCCGGATCAACGTGATGCTTCTTCAGCTGTATAATTGTAAAGTCTCCCTGATCCATCTTTGTTGACATTTGTATCCATCAGCTTGAATATGCTGAATATGAGGATGCAGGCTTTGGACAGTTATGTTTGGTGAAATACATAAGTAAACAGAATTAAACTGAATTTGTGAATCATCAGGCATTTCTTTCAATGATGTGTATTGCTATTGTATTATATTATGTACTCAAAATAAAAGACAGTTCATATTGTAGATTTACACAGTCTATAGTCAGTATTTTAATATATCCATTAGGACAAGAACATAATTTTATCCCTTGTTATTTTGTTACATTTTAAATTATCTGCACTTTTTTGATTTTGAGTTTCTAATTATTTTTGACTTATGTATGCACCATAACTTTCAGCCTGTTGAGGATACTGACTGGGGGCAGTTCTGTTTTGTAAAATTCCCCAGTTAACAGAATTAAACTGCATTTGTACTTTGTCCTTCCTCTGGCTCTATGGCAGTAGTTTACTCTGCCTTGCTTTGGCCCTTAGTGTCTTGTGTTGGGCTTTTTCCAGATTGTCTTGTGGCCTCCTCGCGACAGGAGAGAGCAGACTCACAGTACCGCGTGTAATTAGCAGACGAGTGTACACAGCTCCCCACAGCGTCGCGACCTCGTGCTGCAGCTACTGGTCTCCTCTTTCGCTCTGTCTCTCTCTTTTTCTCTCTCTGTTTCTCTCTTTTTCACTCTCTTTAAGCCACACAAAGCCAGCAGCAGCTCACAAAAAGCTAACAATACATACAGGCCCTCAGGTCTA